GTACCTGACGGAGCCAAAAATGCGGCGGCGGACGGAGACTCTCCGGCCATATTTCCGGTCTGAAATTGGAGGAGACGATAACCGAGCGAGAGAGAACTCGCTTGAGTTGCGTGTAACTGATATACATCTTAGACTTTCACGACGTTAACGATTTAAACCAATCTAAACAATTAGTATGATCAATTTTACCATAAAAATTATAAAATATCGAACACCATAAATTTATATATAATTAATCTTTAAAAAGAATTTGATATATATATATATATATATATATATAAGTGGAACAAGCGGAATATTTTTTTGTCCCAGAAGTATTTAAGTGATAAAATAGGATAAAATTTTGTCAACCGTTCAAATAAACAATACATATACTTTTCAAATTAATTAATATTAATTAGTCGACCGCCATTATTTGTTTATGGGCATCGAAATTCTGTAGTGTTGACAGCTAGTTTCTAAACTGATTCAATGGTCCAAACCAAATTAGTTTCTCAAAAATAATTTTGTCAAATTATTTTAAAAAGGCGTTTTTTTAAATTAAACTATATATTCTCTCTCCCCATATTATATTTTTTCCACATTTTTTTAAATAAATTAGAATTGTTCCGTATATAGAGATAGCTTGAGAACGAGAAGCAAGAATCAGATTCGGAGAAAATTTTCAGGGCAGAGAAACAGAACAATGGCGGATCAAGAGACAGGACCCATGGTCGGAGCGCCCCGCGACGTCGACTTCAATGCCAACGATCTCCAAGTCGAGAGTCTCGCTCGCTTCGCCGTCGATGAACACAACAAGAAGGAGGTGCCATCCTTCGTCTATGTTTCTCCCTTTTTCCATTCACGTTTTCATTGATCTGTTTGGTCCCCGGGAAAATATTTTGGCCGAATCGGTGACTTGTTCGTCCGATCTGATGGGTTCGGTATGAAAACCGGCAATTTTCGGATAGAAGTATAAACGAATATGTGAATCGTGCAACGGAGTGTGATTCGTGTTGGGTTTTCTGGGAATAGCTTCTTTATTGACCGATTTCTTCCGCGATCGATGGAGTTTGTTCCTCGTGTTGATTGATTCAATGGGTTCTGATGATTTTTCCTGTAGATCGCAAAGTTTCCAAGTAAAATGAGATCCATGATATTTCAGACAAAAGGATCTAAGATTGATTCTGAGACAATAGCTGTTCTTCCTGTTTGCTTGTACTCTGATATATTTTGCAATTTTCATGGATTAATCCTGTTTGATCTCACGTAGATCATAGTTCCTAAAACAGGATTGTGTTGTTTATATCTGGATTCACAAAGGACATGGTTTTACAATTCATGGGCTTGGCTCCTGCTTTCATCATTGCCAATATCTTCTTGTTTTTTCTTACAAGAGAAGGAATGCTTTTTCTTATTCTATCTTACTTTCTACATAATACAGAATGCGGGGCTGCAGCTCAAGAGGGTCCTCGGTGCAAAAACGCAGGTAGTGGCGGGAACGATGCACCATCTCACTCTCGAGGTTGCAGAAGGAGAGACCAAGAAGGTTTATGCGGCCAAGGTTTGGGAGAAGACATGGGAGAATCTCAAACAGCTGGAGGAATTCAAGCATCTTCACGATGTCGAGGCTTGAGCTTTTTCGCTGGGTAATAGTTCTCTCGCATACTTTGATCTATATAACATGACGTGTTTCTGATATGGTTTTCGACTCTCTTGATCCATCGAGACTGAATAATCAATGGTTAAAGAAGGTCAGTATTGTGTTGCCCATGAGGTTATTGCTTCAATTTCCTAGGAAATACATCTTTGTTCCCTTTGTGTTTCTTTCGCTGATCGAGATGGATACTTCTTATACCAGCCACTAGAGATCGAATTTGCCACCGAACATAAATGTAATGTAGTCTTGAACTAGGATTATTTATACGACCAACACGGCCTAAAGGCTATTATTATGTTTCTCTCTACTCAGATTCTTTCAGTGTTTAGTGAAAAGAATTCTTTACGGCTTTCATGTATGTGAATGTTGCCACCATGCGATGTAAGAAATTCAACGTAAAAACGCTTTACCCTGAAAGAGAGTTTGATCGATCTATTTAGCTTCTGACAGGACCATCTTGCAATAGTAAATGCTTTCTTTCAGATCCCTAGCTTAGCAGGACTTTGATTTTGTAGTGATTTCCATCAAAACAATGTTAGTCCGATTCCTTGCTTGTTGTGTACTCAGCCATTTCTTCCTATTTATGAAAGTAGCATTTGATCACGGGGAAAAAGAGATTGTTTCTTCTTTCATGTGTTGTAACTTTCGCGCTCCATTGTTTTTTTTTAATTTTTTTTTTGTTTTCTGTATACAGGCTTTGTGCTCTGTGAAGTTCAGCTCAAGTTTGAAGAAAGTACCATAGCTCGTTGAATAATGTTTCCATCAGGTGATCTGGGGGTGAAATTCAGACACTTTATCTGTTTGTAAGATTTGATCATCACTCTGTTTCTGTGTGTATGGGTGACTTCATGTTTGTGTATTACAACTAAAATCCGTATTTGAGTGCAATGACATACAAAAAAACCACTACATTGCTGTGTCACATAATCATCTTTGAAATACCCAGAAGAACCATTGTATTGTATTTCAAGCTTTTGATGATACAGATTGATGATGGAGATGCCGAGAAGAAACTATTGGTTAGTTTCGACGAAAAGCTGACCAAATACATACAAGGAATCAAAAGAAGTCTTCTACAATGCTTCTACTGTCAGTTCCTATAGGTTTGTCTTCACCTATTTCACCTGCTGCTCAATGCCTGAACTAGTTGTGTCTGGTTCTGACTACAAAGACAATGTTTGCATGTTCTCAGCTTTCTTCATCATAATCCTCCTCCTCATCCATGTCTAACCCTTTGTTAAACCTAGCCAGTTGTTCGGGATCGATCTTGATCTCGTTGATTCCCAAGAGCGGTGAACTCGGGTATTCCTCGAGCTTTGGTTGTGGCTCAGTGGAGTCTCCGTTCTCGTCTAATTCCACATTCAGATCGAAATTCCTAACTTTTAGTTCTGAGTTACTGTGATTCCAGGCCTGAGCTTTCTCGGTAGAGTCTTGTGCCTGCATGGATTCAGTTTTCTCAGGCGACGGGCTGCGGGTTTCACGGAGAGGAGACATGTCTCCGACATCGTCTACGTATTTCTGGTTCTGCCCACTACCCATTCTCCCGCCACCACGTCCCCGGCCTCTCCCTCTGCCTCTTCCTCTTCCTCTGCATCCACCAGTTTGCCCAACCTCATACTGCAACAGAAGAAGAAGAAGAAAGCATAAACCATATGGGTCGAGCCAAAACCACGAGTGATTGAAAAATAATCGGTTTACGACCTACCACTTTCGGCGTCTTTATCTCTTCGTCGCTGAAGTTTCCTTCATCATCAACTTTCCTGGTACATCGGAAAGAACATATGGTTTAAAAACCAACATCGAATTTGTTATATACGAAAATTCGATAAAGATAAACAGATTGTTCCTTGAGTCTTAACCTTCTTTTGGTAGCAGAACGATCCTCTTCGGCTGCTTCCAAGCTACCCAAATCAGGAACCTTTCCGACAATATGCCTAAGAAAATCGAAGACATTGAATGTGTGGACACATTGCTTCCTGTAACAAAGAAGAAGAGCAATGAACAATATTGTAAGAACTAAGAAGAACCGATCTAATTCTAACGCAAGACGAAGAAAACGGAAAACCCGGGACTTTAGGCAGGGACTCGAGCCGCTTACAAATGCAAGGAATTCACGGTTTTCGCTCCTCTCTTGAGAGTTATATCGTATGTACGGTCACACAAGTCTTGCAAGAACAGCTCCAAAGCCTTGGCTGCAATTACAACCAAACATTGAAAAAAGATACAACACCATGTGAGATGTGACTAAGACTTGTAATTGGTAAATAAAAGACAAAGCTTTGTTCAAACAGCAAAAAGAATCAAAAGCCACTCACAAACAAGAAGGGGGACGGCCATTGCAATCTTCCCGACATCCTCGTCAGCTTGCATTATCTTCTTAATCCGAGCCTGAAGAAAAAACCTCGAAGTTTAATCATACGTAAAAATGTGGGAGAATCAAAAGGCATTTGGTTGAATGAACCAAAAATTCTCAAGGAAACACCATAATATACTCGTAAGACACTGGAGGGAACAGAAGCTTCCACATTTCTCAAACTCAAAGAACACCTTAGACTTGTTAAATTGTTTTGACATGAAAAACTAACCAAACCGGTCTAATTTTACACAAAATCAGTTGATTTACAATCAAAAGAGACTAAAAGCCAACTCATCAAAACCTCTATGAAACCACCAGATTGAATAAACCCCTCACTAAGTCTATCAATTACACATACAGAACAAATTTCATCTTCAACCATAAAATATTAAATACCCTATCTCGCAGCGGTATCTCTCCGGATCCAAGACATGATAACAAACTCAAGCCAATCTCAAAGGCATGGAGTTCGGCCATTAAGACATACAGTTACTACCAAAAACGCTAATATTATCAACCCAAGAATACAATGTTCTTGATCCAAAGCTAACACCTTTTACAACCCAAAACCCATAGATCATAAAGAAGCAACCCCATAATCAAAACCCTTGAACCATGAACACGAAAATACACGTAAAATGACATCATGCACCATAACAAAGAAGGGCTCGGAAAAAGTCATCAATCCCACTAAGAATACGAGATAAACCCTAAATCCAGAGAGAGAAAATACGTATAACTTACCGCTGGGAAACGGGTGTCGAGTTTTCTCCTCATGATTTCCAACTCCAAGATTATCCCAAAAATAAAGTTCCCAACTTGAATGGGGGGGGGGAGACAAAACCCTAATCCCCAAATTTCTTCTTTGGTTCTCTTCAACGAATGCTGGGAAATCAAAGTAAAAGACGGGACGGGAGATATATATGCATATATATATATATATGATATTGACAAATGGAAGTTGAAATCGAGAGGAAGAAATAAGTTCCCTCTAAACAAATCAAAATCCAGTTCCTGTTCTCGACCCGTTCTTTTCGGACCCAAATCAGCCACGGCGGTCTCTTATTTTTCCTTTTAAATAAAAACAAAAAATGGAAAATTATATATGGGCCCCACATATCTTTTATACTTGCAAAAGAAGAATACACATTCCTGATTTTGACATAACACCCCCATATAGAGACGATACAAATCTCTTAAAATTACATCAATGAATTAATTAATATAGATTCTATTAATACATGTTAGCATTATAGGATTTTTTCCGTAATTCGATATTACCAAACCATAATATGAACTGTCATTTACAAATTCATCGATAATTGACATATAGAGAATACTGTTTTAATTTTAATTAAAAAATAAAAATATTCAAATTAAGATCAAATGTAATAAACGAGATATCTTTCTTTTATTTAAGATTGGTTTTCGGAATATAGTGGTGGTGATGGAGTTTTTGGGATGAGGAATACATCTAATTCATAAAAGAATTGGATGCTTTGGTTTTTTTTTAACACAATTTAAAATTTATATATTTTAGTTTTTAATCAACATAAAAAAAATAATTATGTATCAATTATATGGAAAAAACGTGTTAATCACTAAATGTTATGTGTCATGACTCGTTTTTACCTTTAACCGATGCCAATGACAAATTTGGAAACCTATCAATGCTTATTTATCGATCAATCTAAAATATTGATAATTCAATTTCAAATTTTAATACATTTAATATATTAGTATATTAAAATTAAAGATATTATTAATATAATATACATTCATTATTATTTATTCGTTATAATTTTTGTCTATAAAATTTTCACTTAAAATACTCACCGATGTTCAATATTAAAATTGTGGATGTAATTGAGAAAATATTTTGTTATGTTAAACCTTTAGGGAATCGAATTGGATTATATTTTAATAGGAAATGGTAAATATGTGCAGAAAAAATTGATTATAACATTTTTTTACCAAATCAAACGAGAGCTTTTATTAATTTTGTGCAAGTTAAAATATTAATAATAAAAAAATGTTGCGATTGTAAATCTTTTTTTAAAAGCAAATTCAATTCATTCAATTGACCTAATCCATACATAATTTTATCAACTAATGTTGATGTATTTGCACCTTTGATAATTTTAACAAGTATCCGCAATTTCTAAAATTATAAATACAAACTCGGACATGTAAACGGAATTAAATGTTTCATATAGTTCAATGTTTGTATTGTAACAGCTAAATGAATATTGATTGATTTACACACGGAGTAATAATTAATAGTTTTTTTTACACCATATATTAATAGTATAGCTGCTACAAGGATGTAATTAACAGAAAAACGAATAGTGGGTAGAATCTATGAATCATCTATAAATTTGGGGCTCTATTTGAAGTTTATCCAAACATTTGGACTTTGTCCCTTTTTCGGGGCAAATGTTTGACTTTTATTCCGTGTTCTTTTTAACAACTCCGTGGGCTATATTTTCTGGGCTTATCTTTGTGTATTTTGACTGTTTTACCCCTACCTTTTCGCGTAATATCCATACAACGTCAAATTATACTACTAAGTACTAACTCCATTCATACATTTTTTTTTAATACCTTAATTGTTTTTTAAACTAGTTTAATACATTGATATTTTTCATATGGTTTAATACTCAAATTTAATTTTAACTCAAATATTTGATAAAATGTCCAATCTAACACATACAAATCAATATGCTATAACATTAAAAAAAATCGTCTCTAACGAGATGATAAGAATTTAATTTTATAGTAATAACAGCTCAGCGGAAAACATTCCGTGCATGATTTGCATCATATCATATATCATATTTTAATTTACATAAACAAATCTAAACGAAATCATGAACACTAAACTCAAACAACATAAACAGGAACGCAAATCGTCTATTCTCTCTGAATTCGAGTAGGGCGATGAATAATTATGAATCTCGAGATCGTGAGATTCATAATATAGCTAATGAATGATTCAAGTACCAAATTTTACAGGCAAAATACATATTACGGGAATCAATCTAGAGTCTCATTTTGTCTGAAATGTAATGGAACTGATTTTACTTGGAAATTTTTCGATCAACAGAAAAAAATCACCAGAGCCCTTTGAATCAATCAAGACAAGGAACAAATTCGCTTACACTCGTATCCGAAATTTGGCCGGTTTTCATGCCGAGCCCATCAAGATCGGACCAACGAGTCACCGATTCGGCCAAAAATTTTATCGGGGACCAAACAGATCAAGGAAAGGGAGAAACGTAGACGAAGGACGGCACCTCCTTCATCGACATCTGGGGAGGGGGGGATCCGACCATGGGTCCTGTCTTTTGATCCGCCATTGTTTTGTTTCTCTGCTCTGGATATATTTCTCCCGATCTGATTCTTGTTTCTTGTCTGCGTCTCACGCTGCCTTGCGCTGTCTCAAGCTATCTTATTTACGGAACAATTAAGAAAAAAAAAATCGATCGAAAGTCTGCCGTTTTACCAAATCAGACGAAATGTTAAGGGGCAAACGAAGAACAAGAAATGAAATTCAGGATTTCTACAAATGAATCCGAGAAAGAAAGCGAAAATTCCTATGCTTTGAGAAAAGAATTTACAAATCGAGAGATCTCCCGTCAGATCATACAATCGAAAGACAAAACCCTAATTTCAAACTCAGAAAAAGGACAAAACCATAAGCACACTCTATACATTTGTTTCATCGTCATCCCTAAACTCTAAAAAGAGACAAAAACCCTAAAAAATCTTCCATGGTCTGGATTCTATAAACCCAAGAGTTTCTGGCCAAAATCGAAGGAAAAAACCCTAACCCTGTTTCTTGGTATGTCTTTTTACTGTGATTCATCGTACTCGTAGGGCACGCTCCGACACAACGGGCAAGAGTTCGTACGCTTGAGCCACTCCACAAGACATTCTCGGTGGAAAAAATGAGGACAAGACGGCATTTGCACAAGAGCACCCTCCGAACCCAACAAGTTCTCCAGACAGATCGCGCAAGCCTCCGATTCCATATTCGAGGAGTTCTCCAATTTCTCGGCAGAATCGAAACTCTGTTCTTCCACCAATCTCTGCAACAGAGCTTCCGATGCTCCTCTCGAAGGAGAAGAACCCGACACAAGAAAGATCGTGTCGTTGATCAGTTTCACGTTCACGACCATTGTGATACCTTGAAGACCGAAACCCATGCGATTTGCCGAATCAGCAATATCACTGGCTAGTTGCTGGCACAAGAAAGGATCGTGGATACGGCGATGGAGGAGTTGAAAGATGTGGCGAGGAGCGGGGCTTCTCAGATCCAAGAGGATGGGAACTGTTGGAGGATAATTGCGGTACCAGATTAAGGTTCGGACACCGTTGGGATCTTGGATGAATTCGCGAGTTTCGAAATGGAAGACGATGAAGACGTCGTTCCTCAGAGGCAGCCAAGGTGGGAGTGCACTCGATGTGATTAAGCAGTCGTAGTAGGTGTCTTGAGAATTCATGGCGATTTCCAGCAAATCAGACAACCCTTTTCGCCGTTTGCAGAGAAACGAAGAAATCGCAGAGAGAGAGAGATGGGAGCAGAGAGAGAGAGAGAGAGAGAGAGAGAGATTCAAGTTTTGGGTGTTTCCTTTTCTCTATGAGAGGAGGGATTGTTAAGTATAGAGAGAGAGCTCAAACGGTCAGATTTTGAATCTTCGGATGCGTCGTGGCGGTAAAATCTACGCGCTGCAACCGACTTAGAGCTCACGCAACGGTCATCATTCGAGATTTCGAAACCAAGGCCAAGGGGAGACCCTCACGTGACTTCATCTGTCGCACGTGCCTTTTCTTTCCTTTTCTAAAGGTGAGATATACAATACCCCAAGCGAGTTCTCTCACTCGGGGGGTCACTGGGTTATCGTCTCCTCCAATTTCAGACCGGAAAAATGGTCGGAGAAGCTCCGTTCTCCGCCGCCGCATTTTGGCTCGTTTAGGTACTTTCTTACTTGGATCTCAGTCGGTTTTGGTCGATTTCCCGACCGTTGTTGCATTTGTCCGAATCGATTTTGGGGATTGGTGATAGATTCACATTCGCCTTCGAACAAATCCTTAGAATGTCTATTGTGAGCAAAATTGCATCCAATGAATCGGATTGCTGGAGAAGGCGCCTTATGTGTGGGAATTCAGTGTGTTTGCAATTAATTCTTAGACAGGTGCTGAAAACACAAAGCAGAAAGTTGTAGAACTTCTGTCATCTCGACTACGGATATGAAACAGATTGCTAGTGATGTACAATGACTAGGGGTCATTGTGTAGAGACTGCAACGGGGAATGCCTTGCCGTATTCTTGTTCTGATTCACATTCGGGGAAATGCTTTTCTTTCACATCTGTGGAAATTTCTCCTTGTTGCTTTCATTCTGATTTTGCTTTGGGCGTTGCAACTTGTTGATCGGCTTATGAACATCAGTGTGTTGTTGGTTGTTGTTTCCTCATTCCTCTAGAACGCTACCATTTTTTGTTTTTCGGCCTTTCAGTTAGCTTCAACAACACTTTTTAACATTTGTAGCTTTAATTTTGGATTCATATTTTTATACTATCAACGTAAATACTCTTGTTCTTCCATTGTAGGCACGTGGAGAAAGCAGCGGTGCATTGTTCTGTGAATCATTTTCTTGAACTAGCCATCACCCGCTACCAACAACGTCTTGGTGGGGTTTCAGGATTTCTAGTTCTTAGATTTGGTTAAGCGGGTGAAATATTGATCTTTCTTGTGTTTGTTATTTTTTTTCTTGCAGCCATCTGAATGGTCGAAGAAGACCGGAGAACAGGTCCCGAAGGAAAGTAAAAATCCTTTGCACTATTTGCTTCTTCACAGCTCATCTAGACTACAGGAGCCATGATTAGATGTTCATTTATTTCAACAATTCTACTTCCTTCAAGGATCATCAAATGAAATAAAATCATAGGTTGATTAACCATGGATGAGTAACATTTCTTCATAATGCGGAGATGCTTTACATAAATTTTGCTTTATACATCAAAGGCTTTGAGTTATACATATTGGCATTGCAAAAATGCAGGTACACTAAGGTAGTTAACACCAGAAACATGTTTTTTGTTCAGGAGCAGAAACATAATCTATTAAGGGTGTCTCAGCCTTTGTGCTTTGAGAGTCTAGAAGATTCTAGAGCTCTTGTCTGAAGATCATGGCTCTGTTGTTCTTAATCCTTAGGGTCTTCCCCCAAGATGACTTCCGGCTCAAGACACTCGAAAAGCTCTGGTACGTCAGATGTCTATGGTATTTGCATCCGCATAAATAATCTCCACCATTTCAGAGCCTGAGCTCGAAGCCAAGCGCCCAAACGGACGAATGCTCTTTTTGCCATCGTTGTGGTAAAGTGAAATCAACAAGCATGCCTTGTAGATTGTAACGTTTAGCAATTCTAACACACTGAGTTGAAATGTTCGTACTGTTCCCCCTCAAGCATGCCACAGAACTTCAAAATGAAACAACCGAAAAGGCGAAATTTTTTTTACGCAGATAGATAGCACACTGAGTACGTTTATCTTGGGCCGACTTCTTGTGTCTGATGCCGTTATGCTTTGCTTTCAGGTGACATGGTTGAAGAACTTGCTCCTCACTCCTTGTAATCAGAGTGATCTTCATTAAAGATTTGCCTCTCTCTTCCTTCAAGGGGAAAGTCTTACACTATCACCTATGGGACACTCTCAAACAAACTCCCATCATATGCAGAAAAGGTTTTGTCCGACGCACCGAGCTCTCTCTACATGTCTCCTAGTGTAAGTCAAACTGTCCGGATGCTTATCAGATAGATGAGCAGAAGGAGGAAGAAGAACTGCTTTCTCCACGGGAGAACTTCTTGTTGAGATAAAAAAAAAATGATCATGCAGCACCAAAGCTACATCGAACAAAGACGTGTAAGTTGTCAAATTTAGTGTTTATGTCTACTCGATAAATTCTTTGCCTAAACATTTTGACCCTCTTTTGATCCTGCCACAGGAAAACGATGCAGACAACATGTTTGGGTTGTGGTAATATACAATCTCGATCGCCTATACTTGGTTGTTTAGAGGCATGCTAGAGGAGCGAGTAGTCATTTCTCTCTTGGTAAAACCTAAACTAGAATCATTGAGAGACCCATAAAACATAAAGTTTCTATAAGAAAGTGATCTTTAAAAAACTCATGAGACTGCCACTGACATATATTGTTTTCACCATCACAGAAAATATCATTCTCTTTATGTAGAGCAGTTTGTATATAAAGTTCATAACCACTTCTATTTATCCAAGTAAAAAAACTTATATTGTACGTTTTCTAAAGTTGATGTTGGTGACATGAGCTGAAGCCTAGTAGAAGATAAATGAAAGTGTATTTTCGGTTTGTATATGGACTGAATGATGTGCATATAACAGTTTGAAGCAAGAACTGGTCGAGTTGGGAAACTCGTGATTGCAAACCTCGTATAAGCTCACAGCGACGCAGTAACGTTCCTCCACTAAAGCGGCAGAGCGTTCTCGTGCTTCTTGTCTCTTTTTCTTCTTCAAAGATTCAACGTTTATATACCCAATCTTCCTGAAATGCTACTTTGCCTTGGAGTTTTGTTGTCTCGAATTGGAGCTTTTGTGTTGCATAATGGCTGCCTTTTCCTCGCGAAGGTACACATCTTAGTTGCTTAATCCGTGAAAATTACATGGTAATAACATTTTGAAACTGTTGATCTCGACTTTTATCTCTTTTATTTTCGTTAACCATCTTCTCATCCAGCTGAAATATCTCGCGTTTTCAGGATGACTACCAGGTTTTGGACGGGCGAAACATCAGTGAATGGGAACCCATAAACCAAATCTTCTCCCTCTATTGAGCCTCTTAGGGTGCTGCAGTAATGTTCAGTCCACAAGAACTGGTTTGTCGTTGTTGATATTTGGATCAACAAGTTATTGTTACCTTCAAGACTTGACTTGAGAACTTGTAGACAGATGGTGCAACAGATGACAATTCAGATGCATTGTCTGAACCATATGATGATAATGAATTGAACATCTAGGACAGGTAGACATTTCGGTTTCGATCCAATTCGGTTTCATAAATAAATAAATAAATAAATAAATAAATAAATATATATATAAGATTAAAATTAAAGAACTTTCGTTTGATTAGCTTTCTTATATTCCGTTTGGTTTAGATTGATTTTATTCCAGAAAAGTGATAGGAATAAAACCAGAATAAATTTCTTTTTTGGATTTGATTAGAATTCTCATTAGATATCCATTGCAAACACTTCATCGTCCGTCATTTTACCAAATCAGACAAAAATGTTAAGGAAGAACAAAACTGAAATTCGGGATTTTCTACGTATGAATCCGAGAAAGAAAGTGAAAATTCGTATGCTTTGAGAAAAGAATTTACAAATCGAAAGATCTCCCGTCAGATCATACAATCGAAAGACAAAACCCTAATTTCAACCTCAGAAAAAGGACAAAACCCTAAGCACTCTATACATTTGTTTCATCGTCATCCCTAAACCCTAACAAGAGACAAAAACCCTAAAATCTTCCATGGTTCGGATTCTATAAACCCAAGAGTTTCTGGCCAAAACCCATATTCAGATTTGGGAAAAAAATCGAAGGACAAAACCCTAACCCTGTTTCTTGGTATGTCTTCTTACTGTGCTTCATTCATCGTACTCGTACGGCACGCTCCGACACAACGGGCAAGAGTTCGTACGCTTGAGCCACTCCACAAGACATTCTCGGTGGAAAAAATGAGGACAAGACGGCATTTGCACAAGAGCACCCTCCGAACCCAACAAGTTCTCCAGACAGATCGCGCAAGCCTCCGATTCCATATTCGAGGAGTTCTCCAATTTCTCGGCAGAATCGAAACTCTGTTCTTCCACCAATCTCTGCAACAGAGCTTCCGATGCTCCTCTCGAAGGAGAAGAACCCGACACAAGAAAGATCGTGTCGTTGATCAGTTTCACGTTCACGACCATTCTGATACCTTGACGGCCGAAACCCATGCGATTTGCCGAATCAGCAATATCACTGGCTAGTTGCTGGCACAAGAAAGGATCGTGGATACGGCGATGGAGGAGTTGAAAGATGTGGCGAGGAGCGGGGCTTCTCAGACCCAAGACGATGGGAACTGTCGGAGGATACTTGCGGTACCAGATTAAGGTTCGGACACCGCTGGGATCTTGGATGAATTCGCGAGTTTCGAAATGGAAGACGATGAAGACGTCGTTCCTCAGAGGCAGCCAAGGTGGGAGTGCACTCGATGTGATTAAGCAGTCGTAGTAGGTGTCTTGAGAATTCATGGCGATTTCCAGCAAATCAGACGCCCCTTTTCGCCGTTTGCAGAGAAACGAAGAAATTGCAGAGAGAGAGAGAGATGGGAGCAGAGAGAGAGAGAGAGAGAGAGAGAGAGATTCAAGTTTTGGGTGTTTCCTTTTCTCTATGAGAGGAGGGATTGTTAAGTATAGAGAGAGAGCTCAAACGGTCAGATTTTGAATCTTCGGATGCGTCGTGGCGGTAAAATCTACGCGCTGCAACCGACTTAGAGCTCACGCAACGGTCATCATTCGAGATTTTGAAACCAAGGGCAAGGGGACGACCCTCACGTGACTTCATCTGTCGCACGTGTCTTTTCTCTCCTTTTCTATAACCATGTACACGAATTCGAAAATCGGTCATAATAACGAGACACCTCATGTGACTTTCATCTTTGCACTTCCCTTGTATAAAACTAGATACAATTTATATTTTTATAGTACAATAATAATAATAATAATAATAACAAGGGCAAGGGGACGACCCTCACGTGACTTCATCTGTCGCACGTGTCTTTTCTCTCCTTTTCTATAACCATGTACACGAATTCGAAAATCGGTCATAATAACGAGACACCTCATGTGACTTTCATCTTTGCACTTCCCTTGTATAAAACTAGATACAATTTATATTTTTATAGTACAATAATAATAATAATAATAATAATAATAATAGATAAATTATGGATGGCACAACGTTTCAGTTTCTTTTTACTGATTTGAAAACAGCGTGATTTTATGCAATACATATTACAACAGTTATTATAAATTGATTTCTTTTGGTAAAAAACTACTTTAATTTTTACGACCAACGCCATAATAAATTTTTTGGGTCACTTGTGTAAGACTACAAGTACCTCAAGACTCGATAGCATACATACCTAGCATAGCATGGCGTCCAATTTTTTCATGGTGTATCTGACATACGTATATACATACACACACACGCACTAAAGCGTAAATACATGCATGCATGCATACATTTAACACTAATGCCGATTTTGTGTCATATGAAAACCAAAACTTATTGGAGATTATGGAGATACTCAAAGATTATTCTCATAACAAGTTCACAACCTCAACACGGATATACCATATAGAGATTTTACTACAAACAGTCAAAATTCCATAGCAAAACAAAACACTTTATACTATATAGAGAGGATGCCCAAAACTAAGATCAAGTCTTCTTATGCCACTGGGATCTCCGGGATATCGATATTCGTCGGTTCAAGAGTAGACGGGGTAACAGCCTGAGCGACGGAGAAGTTCACATCTTCTTCCTTCGGGGCATGGATGGTCACGAGATCGGGCAAAGGTGTCATGGGACCATGTTTACCCTTTGGATCCCAATCAAGCATTATCTTCACCTTGATACCGAGCACACCCTTTCACAAGGTTCGTCAAGAAGATCAAGGGTCAGTCACCACTCGAAAATGCAAAGCTTTAAACAGTTTAATTGGGTTTGTGGGCTACGGAATCAAACTAGGGCAACATTCAAAGGAGTGGTTTCAAAGTTTCAAACTTGAGAAAAGAAACTGACTGACCTGTCTAAGAAGAACGTGCCTCACTGCAGAATCGATGTACTCCTTTGTGGGCTGGCCAGAGGATATCATGTAGCCATCCTTGAATTTCATCGACTTGGCACGTTGTGCTCGAAGCTTTCCACTCACGATGACCTGGCATGCGTTAAGAGACAAATATGAATATTGGTCAAGACACTGCAGTTCACAGCAAGGACAAGAAAACTTGTGCAATAAATATAAAGGTAGGGATTTTACTGACCTCACATCCCTTAGCTCCGCTCTCCATGACAAACCTCAATACACCATAGCATGCCCTGTAGCATTAAATACAGAATATGGTTCAACACAGATATGCCAATCCTACGAAGAACTTGAGGGTTCGTTGGGGTATGAAAGCAGCAAAACACTATATGTAGGAGAATATTCCAAACTCCAAGCAATAAAAGCAAGAAGCCTGACAAACTCCAAGAATTTCTCTGCGAGCAATCAATTCAACCCTCGGGTCTATGAAAAAAAAAAAGCCAAGGTACAGAACAATGCTCATCATGGTGGATATGTAGGACTCGCCCCACTCTAGTCTCAACCCAATACGTGCGCTATTTGATATCCCAGTCTTACAAGTAAGATTCTAAAACGAAAGTTTCTTTATATTCATTTATTATTCACCTAAAAGACCTTGGGAAAGAGTCGCGATAACACAAATATCAATCCTGTCAAACCTAAGGTCCGTTTATAAAACAAATCTCCAAGGTAGGTGATAAGTGTCCCACATTGGAAAATGAGAGGGATTTGGGCCAATTAATAAGGTTTAGGCCCTAACTCCACCACAAAAGCTAGCTTAAGAGTGGAGGTTTGACCCTTACTTATATATTGGTCCAAATCCCTCTCATTTTCCAATGTGGGACACTTATCAGTAGGACAATGTTTCCATCAGACCATCTCATCAGAAGGATACTAATGCAACTCCTTCCCTTATTCAAGGACGGATGGAAATATCAATATAGTCACCCTCAGACACGAGTAAGGTACAAGTGACCAACTCGCTGTAAAGATGACCAAAAAAAGCGAACTACATTTTAGAGGAAACACGGATCAGAATGAAATAAAAATAGGCTAACCATACTATACACGCACCTCCTAACTGCGAGGCCTCCAAGAAGCTTGTAGCGCAAAGACTCTGCCTGAGCAATGGCACAGAGACCTCTGTTGTTAACTTTCTCAGCATAGAGTTCCACACTGCCCTCCGGGAACTTGAATCTTTTCTGAACAATAGAAGTCAGTTCTCTGATCCTCCTCCCCTTCTCACCTGCAAGATATCAGGTACACAGCGTAATTAGTAGATAAAAATTTAATCATATGCTCACAAAACAAATATACAAAAGCATAATCATAGTCTGTATTGTATTTAAACATGATTAGAACACGTAATTATCCCAAAGCACTTACCAAGAACATTCTGAGTACGGGTTGCCCTTATAATGATCTCTGTGCGCATGGGAGTAACCCTAACTTCAACCCCAGAGTACCCATCCTCAGCGAGTTCCCGAGTCAATAGCTCGTTCAACTCAGCAAAAAACACTCCATCAGCGACAAACTGCATCATACCACGTCAGAGAAACTCAATTTACAGAAAAAGCTAAACGACATCATAACGTCAAACAATAGAAACCAAAAGTTTATCACCGTAAAAAAAATTTAAAAAAAAAAAACTCAAACCAAAGATAATCGGAGACCTCGAACGGATTCGAGGAGCGCGATGAATCATTACGAATCTCGAAATCGCGAGATATTATCAACTACGTACTCATGATCCAACTACGAAATTTTACAGGCAATATGTATTACTACCCATCTTCTCCGACGATAACACATTAAGCGCAGTGTGATAAAGCAAAGACATCAGGAGAAATCCGGATAAAGCTTTTAACGAACCTTTCGCTTCTTGCTGATCTGAGTCGCCATATTTTCCTAGATGATCCAACCAAACACAAAATCTATCCTCACGTAGCTTCTGCTTCTTCCTCTGCCGCTTCGAACTACTGTAACTACATAAAGCTTTTGAGGAAACCCTAATTGTGTCGGGGGTTGGTCATATACATCTGCGGTATTCTAAGAGCAGTAAGATCGGACGGTCGATAGAGGATTATTGGTTTTCAACGGCTGTGATGTGTTTATGGGGTTTTCTCACTTGGTTTGGGCCAAACAGATCTTCTCAGTGGCTTGGGCTTGTAAATGGGCCTAGCCCAATGGAATCCGTAACCAGAAAAAGGGACTTCTAGAACTTATTTTTGTTTCGATTAAAAACTCTAAAAATATATTTGTAACATTGATATTTTACCAAGTTTATTTTTGTTATTTGTAATATTACGTATCCCACGGCTATTCGATCGTAAAATCAAAAAATAATGTGAATAGTCTCACTCGCGAAATCTAAACTCAAATGTGAGGTTTCTGGATATATTATTTTTTTAATATCCCATCGGTGAATCAGATAATTTTATCTATTTTTAGTGCGATTTATTATTAGATTTCAATTTTTGTTTATAAACGGATTAATATTAATCCGGAAGTCATAAAGTTTGAGCGTTTGAACTCTACGTAAATTAAATAAAACGATAAAAGAATTGATACATTAATTTATAAACCTTTTATTTCCACAATACATATTTTAAGGTTGATGAAATAAGTGGTGAATATATCATTTATAATTTTATATTTATGTATAAATAAATTTTTATTTAGTGACATTATTATATTTTTTATTTTTTGATGAAATGAATATAATTATTAAGTTAACGTATTATATAAAACAAACCACAGGTTTTTCAATGCACTGACTAGCTAGTCAAGATTTATTTGAATAAACTCATAAGAAACATATATTTTATTTTCATGAGTACCTTTTAACGTAGACCAAAAATTCAAATATATTTATGTAGGGGTTTTGGTTGTGGTCGAATGTAAGATATATATATTGATTAGCTTTCTTATATTCCGTTTGGTTTAGATTGATTTTATTCTGGAATGTGTGTATAATTGCCCGTTACAGCAACACTCATTATAGAATCTAGTTTTTGGTTCGGTCACGCTAGTGTGTGTAATTATAGTGACCATAGTACATCTTGCGTGCTAGTGTAATAATAACTCTAATAATTAATTTAATTACAAAAATTGTAGAATACAATTTATATCATCGTAAATGACATATTCTTTTCGTATATTTTCAATTCCACCGTATACGTTTGGTTTATTTAAAAATATATATTAAGTAAAAGTGTTAAAAGGAAATAGATTAAATTATGGTAAAAATAAAACTAAAAAGAATAATAATAATTAGAAGTTGGAAAATAGAAAATTTTTATAATTATAATATAGAAGGCAGAAAATGGAAAACTTTTGGAAGGTTTATTCACGAATAAAAAGAAAAAAAATAGGAAAGGTAAAAGGATAACTTGTTTTAGTAAACGTATTCCATCTATCTTTATAATATTGATCAATAAACTTCAAATTTATCAACTAAATTTTGTATAATTAAATTTAAATAATATTTTAATCATTAGTGTTCAATAATACAAAACAAATATATCGTATAAGTTTTACAACATTTTACTATTATCAACTATAAAAATATAATTTGAAACGTTTGTTTTTTTACGCTTTTAGTAAACCTAGTTTAAAAAGTATTTAAAACTTCATTAATTTAAGATATATTGAAATAAAAAAACAACAAATTTAGAACGTTCAATATATATATATATATATATGATAAAAAAAATTAAAATCTAAAAAATCTTTAATATACATGTTATACATAAAATTATACTTCTATATGGGATTGTTGGTGGAACATGTTTGACAAAAGCTTGTCACGCTTTGACATCATTTTAAGGTTTAGCTCTAGTGTATCCCCCTTGGACTTTTAACCAACCCATAATTACATATACATTCAACCGAATATATTTAAATTTGACCAAATGAAAACTATATAATATAGTATGCATATGGATTTGTAGGTATCATATGTAATATGGTAATGTGTATGCGGATGGATCACGTGTGCAAAGACAAATCGGCCGCAAACCACTCATTAGTCCGACACTCTTTTTCAAGACACGAATAAAAGCCGATGTCCTTTTCTGTTTACCCATTAGCCCATCTCGTCGCCATGGATTTTCCTCACGCGCATATACATATATATACATTTATACACACACACATATATATATATATATATATATATATATTACTTATAACTAGTAAAAAAATATATGACTTGAGACCACAACTCTATTAACAAAGACAGGTTTAAACCAGTAATCGTGATTTGATAGTTATCAAATCTCTATTATTTTTATAATAAAATGGATGAGGTGTAAATTTTGATGACAAAAATGTATATAGGAAGATAATTTGAGCCGATGCATAAAGATACAGAACGAATGTGATATCCATCTATAAAAAAAATATAGAAGTTGAAGTTTTAAATTGAAAACATAAATTATATAAGTATGATTTAATATCGAACAGGATAAAAAAAAATTTGCGTTTTCTAATTCATTCTCTCAGTTTAGTTATATATATATACACACAAGTATATACATAGATATATATATATATATTCTGTCAGTCTAGTTATTTTCCAATTCATACTAATGAATATCGATCATGGTTCGCGTGATTTTATTTGGAAGTATCAAAATATTCCTTAATTTTGATTATATATATATATATATATATATATTTGTTACTATTATTGCTTTTTTCTGTTGGTATTTGATGAATATTGACTTTATGTAAAAATTTGATTTGTTATACATATGCTGATTTTGGGCTTATATTTAATAACTTTAAAAAGAAAAAGCATCGGCGCATCTATCATAAAATTGCGAAAAGAGGTCGGACGAAGTTTTGGACGAAAAGAAAAATACTTTTATAAAAAAGAAATATAAAAAAATACTTTTATGGAAATTATAGATCTATTCCGTAACAAATCTGAAAAACCAATTTATTGGAGGGGTCAAAACTTTTCAAATTGAGAAGACCAGAAAATGATAAAACATATTAGAATTACATATCAAATTATTAAAAAGTAATATTATAATTTAATAAAGGCAAATGCCAGCGTATATTTTTTTGCAAATAATCTTGAAATTAAAATTTCTGCCTGGTTATTAAGAATTTGGTAAAAAGACCTTCTATGGTTGATGCTTTCCAACCTTTGCATGACCCGACAAACCACACACTCCTGTTTTTGGTGCTTCGATGTTTATCTTTGTTTTTGACCTTCCTAAACCTTTTTACTATTTCAATGGTTTTTTTTTTATAAATTAGAGATTATGTTAGGGTTGAGCATTTTGGTTCGGTTCGTACCATTCAAAATTTTTGAATTGTATGTTTTTTATGAAACCGAATTTTTCGGAACCGGACTAAACTTTATAAAATTTCTGGAAAAAAACGAAATTTTCTTAAAAAAATCTATTTTTTTAAATAAAAACCAAAATCGAACCGTATTGAAATTGGAACCGAACCGAACCGAACAATATACGATATTCATTTGGTACAGATTTTAGAATACTAAATAAATCATTTTCGAACTGAGAACGGAATCGATCCCAAAATGGCCACCCCTAATTTATGTTACATATGATACAAACACGGTATACACAACACATATACATACACATACATATATGTATGTCTCTCTATACATACACACACAATCCCACATGAAACGTACATGAAAATCGTAGTGGGAGAGATCTTCATGATCTTTTGCACACAAATTCAAGAGGATTTCGAGGATGATGGTGATGATGATGATGATGATGATGATGGCCCTCGAGTGGAGTTTCCAACAACACTATCATACACTTTCGAGTGGATTATCTTCACGCTTAATAGTGCAAACATCCCTTTTGTCCTCCTCACACACCTATCTGTGGTCCCCTCTCGCGCTCTTATTGTCCCTAGACGTCAATAATATCTAATCTTTCATTATATGTCAATTACTTTATAGTTAACATATCAGCCTGAAGTATTTTATAACAAATTCTATATCTATTATAAATAGCAAATTCGAATATCTGGTGAAGTTTATGCCAAAAATATCTAGTGAAGTTCCTTAATCTAATTAAAAGTTGCAAACTTTCACACCTTTATTTATATCGTATATAACAATATATAATAATTAAAAATAAATATAAAAAACTAATTACATAATAGTTAAGTTTTACAGATAATTTTATTTCAATGATATTAGGATATATATATATATATTCCAAATTTTATTCGTATAAATATTATTGAGAATAAAATAAGTAGTAATAATACATAATGACAATATTAGGATATATATAATTTATATACTAAATGAAAGTAAAACAAATAGTAAAATCTTTGTGGTAATTTGTAGGAACAGCCATCAAATTGGAATAGATAATTTTTTTTTATAGTATTCAAAATAAAAATATAACTACTCTACATCTACACCGTACATTATTATTAATTCGAATGCAATACACTAGCAAAATTTACTTGTTTTTCTTCTTTTGTAATTAAATGGTAATTTCAATTTCACCAAATCCACACAGAAGGTGCCAAGTGTACAACTTGCCACGTATAACAAGACAGCGGGCCCCGCCAACCTCCCGGTAAACCTTTTCCTCCCCATGATGTGTTTTTTTTTGTTTGCCTTTTTTCGTTTCTGCCTTTAAAGAAAAAAGAAAAGAAAAGAAAAAGGCATTATCCTAAAAAAAAAAAAAAAAAAAAAAAAAAAAAAACCAAACATGAGTCTGCGCGTGCTCTCTCATGATGCGTGTTAGTGCTGTGCGTATATGTATTCCACAGCAGAATCCTCCAAATCCTCACTTGGAATTTGGTATATATATATATATATATATATAGTCGTTGGTATTATTGTATATCGCACTCTCTAATTAATTATTTTCTCTTTTTTCTCACACTAAATTGGTCTCCACCAAACGAAGAAAATATCATTTTGCTATATAGCATTATCGCATATCTATTATTATTTTCCTCGCAATCGAAATGTGTTTATATTGTGTGTGTGTATATATATATATACAGTATAGGTCTCCCCTTATTACATCAACAAGTATATATATTGTGGGAACATATTATTTTGTATTATTGTATCTTATTTACATACATGAAAAAAAAAATGAACACGAAAAAATATTTATGATCAAACAATTATTCTCTTGATATGTATGCAAAATTGAAAATAGAGAAAAAAAAGACATAAAATGATGCGAGAGTCCCCTATTATCATGAAATGGATGAGGAAGAATAAAATAAAAAGATATATGCGCATATGTAATAATTGTGAGAAAATGTTAAAAATGGCCAATAGGGCAGAAACCAATTTAGCACGCGGCATAAATTCTGGCAGAAGATCTATGAGTTTGTCTGTCACAATCATTACTCGTGCAAGCGTTGCATATATTCTCCCAATCTCATATACACACACATATATTTGCACATTATACAAAAAAACATATTATCATCAATAAAATAACTATATTTGTTGTTTTTTTAAAGAAGAAAACCCAAGTTATTGTCAACAAATATTTTACTCATTTTGTTACTAAAATTTGAATATGTTAATTACTTAAGTATCCAAATCAAACTTTTGTACATTAGATTCCTTTTGGTATCATATTAAACATATATATATATATATATACATACAGTCTTTGTGTGTCTCTTTAATATGTGGCTCTACAAAAAAAAAATTATAATAATGATAAATAAAACATTATTTTGTTTTGGAGTTGTGATGATATTTCTCAAAAAAGGCTCAAGGAAGATTCTATAAAAAGCCACGGCGTCTCTCTCTCGGACATCCCAAACTCAAAGCATAACTTTCACCTTCTGTCTTCATCATCTTCAACCCTTGTTCTTCTGTAATCTTTGCAGAACATTCAAGAAAAAAATGGGTGAAGCAGTAGAGATTATGTACGGAAATGGGTTCCCAGAGATTCACAAAGACACGAAGACGATGAACCAGAACCTCCTCTGCACCAAACAGCAAGACATTTTCTGGTACGAAGAAACCATTGACGATGACCTCAAGTGGTGCTTTGCTCTCAACAGGTGCTTCTGTTCTTCTCTCTCTCTCTCTCTCTTTTTTAATAAAAAATGTTTATTTTCTTCTGTTATTTGATGTAATTAATTATATATAATAATATTGGTTTTGATTATATGATGTTTAATCTCTCTCTATTTTTTTTTTGTGGGCAGTGTTCTTCACAAGGGAACCAGTGAATACCAAGACATTGCTTTGTTGGACACCAAACGGTTTGGAAAGGTTTACCCTTTTTTCTTTTTAATTATTTTTCCCAAACCTTTGATTTTTTTTTATTTGTTCTGTAACCCTAGCTATTTATAAACTCTACTACTACTACTACTACTACTACTATTATATTATATTATTATTATTACTACTAAAACATTTCGTTTATTCGAATTTTGCATGTACTAAAAAAATGCTGAAGTAATTATCGATTCTTTTGTTTTTCTTCTTGTTATTAAATTATATAAAAAAATAACTACAGGTGCTTGTGATTGATGGGAAAATGCAAAGTGCGGAGAGAGATGAATTTATTTACCACGAGTGTTTGATCCACCCTGCCCTACTCTGCCACCAAAAGTAATCTCATATTTCTCATTTTCATTTTCCTATATATATATATATTCCATTTATTTTCTAAAATATTCAATAAACCATATTTTATATATTTGTATAATTCATAGCTTAACGTTTGTTTTTTTTAAATATTTATATTATGGGTTCTAAAAGCCCAAAGACAGTATTCATAATGGGAGGTGGCGAGGGCTCCGCTGCGAGGGAAGCACTCAAACACAAGACCATTGAGAAAGTGGTCATGTGTGACATTGATCAGGTCATTTTTTTTCATTTTATCTTCTATATATTATGAATTATAATTCTTGGACATTAAATATAATTCTTCAAATTTCCAAAATTTAATTCATTGATTATTGATAAAAACCAAAATTTGATTTTTTTTTGCAGGAAGTGGTGGATTTCTGCAGGAGATTCCTCACCATTAACAGCGAGGCCTTTTGCAGCAAGAAGCTTGATCTCATCATTAATGATGCCAAGTAAGCAAAAAACAACTTGCAGAATTTCTTCATTTATATATACATACATATATTTGCACATAGATTCTAGAATCTAGCATTGGAATCTTCGTTTATTTATTGATTATTTAGTTTAATGAAAAAATATTATTTTTCAAATTTGTAAAAAATTGAAGGGCTGAGTTGGAGAAAAGGGAAGAGAAATTCGATATAATAGTGGGGGATTTAGCCGACCCGGTAGAAGGTGGGCCCTGTTTTCAGCTCTATACCAAATCCTTCTATGAGAAAACCCTCAAGACCAAGCTCAACTCCAATGGCATTTTCGTCACTCAGGTAAATTAATTGTCTTAAAAAAACATTTTTCGATATAAATTATTAAAATGGTGTAACAAAAGGGTATCTATTTATTCGTTTGATTTTGAATTTTTATTTCATTTTTTGTAATAGTCTGGACCGGCAGGAATCTTCACCCACAAGGAGGTCTTCACATCAATCTACAACACCATGAAGCAAGTCTTCAAGTGTAAGCCTCTTATCCATTCCAAAGGTTTAACGTTGACTAAAAAATGTCAACACTAAATGATCACATCAAAACATCATACGGATTTTTTGAACTATACAGATGTGAAGGCGTATACTGCTCATGTGCCATCTTTCGCGGATACATGGGGATGGGTTATGGTACGTGAAACCAGATCAAAACTTTGCCTATGACATTCTTATTTCAATTTCATATCGTTTTATTTCGATGATTTCGTAGGCATCGGATGAACCGTTTTCGATCGATGTCGAGGAAATTGATAGGAGAATCGAAGAGAGAGTTGATGGAGAATTGCTCTATTTGAATGGTGCCTCTTTGCTCTCTGCTGCCACTCTCAACAAGACCATCTCTATCGCGTAAGTCTCTCTTTTTTGTTGCGAATTTATCATACCGTACCGGAAAAAACCGAACCGGAATTGAAATTTGGTTATCAGTCTTCTCTAATGTCGGAAAATGATCAAACACGAGTGAACCTAAACCGGGAAAAACCAGATATACCAAGCTAAGGTTTTGTTTTTTTGGTCCGGTTCGCTGTTGATTTGACTTGTGAATTCCGGTTTTGGCATTAATTCAAGAGTAATTGCAAGCCCTTTTATTTTATATCAAAGCAAAAATTGCATTAATTGATATATTTTTTATTGGGTATAAAAATTCAGGCTGGAGAATGAGACCGACGTTTATACCGAAGATAATCCGATATTTATTCATGGTCATGGTGTGGCGTACCGGAATACTTGAAGGGACTAATGTACAGACGCATTCTAAGTGAAGACATTAAAAATATTATTAGAGGAAAAAAATGAAAGAAATGAAAAAAAAAACCCTGAAGAAATCCTCTCTCCCTTGTCTTTATCAAGATGATATGTTATATGTTGGCTTCACTTGTTTACTGCTTTATTTTATAAGATTTTCTTTGTTTGCATTTCATATCTATTTTCTCCGGTTCAATGTGTTTTGTTATCAAATTCGGTATGGTTTCGTATGGTACTAAACCGATCTAACTCTTCTGCGGTTTCTCCAGTTCGGTTTTGTTATCCTAGACCGTTGGTCTAGAGAGAACCGGTATTCAGAAATATTTTTGGACCAGAGATGGCAACTATGTCTGAGAAATTTATTCCAATTTTTGAGTGGACATGATACCAAAGAGCCGGTTCAATTGGTTAATTGGTAACCGGACTCCGGTTTACATAAATGCATTCTTTCCGCCAGGCGCCAGTAATGTCTGATGTCGTTTTCTAGGATAAGTCATGATAAAATTGGAAAAGCCAAACCATAGATGAAAATTTGGACTTGCTTTACATAGACTAATAATCATAGATATTTCTGTGAATGATCAACGTTCGGTATTGAATTAAACCGGTGGTGATCCTGTTATTGAGATTGGTTCATCAAATCAGTCCATCCGGTTGGTTATCATGGTCGAATAATATTAGTTTAATCGTCCATTACCAAATTCAAAATTAATTTTTCCATTTGAAGATCGGTTTGGTTACCAATTATTTGGAATTAGTATTTGAAAACAAACCAAACCGGTTCTTTCAACAGAAAAACCGAAATAAAACAAAAACTTTGAATCTCTGATATAATCTCAAGCTCACAAAACGGTATAGTTTTTCCAGCATTTCACCAAACCGACCATAGCCGTACCGGACTCATTACTACCTAACCGAACCAACACAAATCTGGTAAGTGACCTACTACAATCGAGTAACAAAAAGCCAACCATTCCGTACCGGTTCAAGACTCCAAAATGAATAACCGGGAAATATATTTCTCATTTCCATGCCTTCTTTTACCTTTGGCTGAGATGTACTTCTTGAGGAAGGAGACTGTAATCGATGTGAAGATCCTCGAACATTTTCTTGATGGCGATGACAAGCTCGGTTCTTCTGATGTTCCGCTCGCGGTATTCTTGGAACGTGATCGTGTGGTTGCTGTATAGAGCCATCTTCAGTTTGTTCACGTTCTCGATCTCTTTCACCACCACCGTGTGGTTTGGCTGCCAGTGTTGCGGGTTCTGCTCCAAGTACCTGATCAAACAAAAAACCCGAAAAATTCTCGTCAAGATGCTCAGGATCAGATCTTTGCATAAAAAAACAGTTCCGGTCATAACTCTAAACCTTCATATGCTTCAGTTCAAGTGATTCAAGAATCAGTTTCTTGAATCCATATACACTTTGGCATGAGGGATACAATCTGGGTGAAGTCAAGATGAGATTTTGCAGGATACCCTTTCACGCAAACTTTACAAAAAAGAAGACGGAAGAGAAGACGGGTAAATCTTGATGCTTACTGGGCAATTTTTTCTTTGAGACGGGCTATTTTCTCAACCGGTGTTGAGAATGCGATGGAGAACTCTACTGTATCCCCCATCTCGGGACTTCTGTAGTAATTGCTGATGGGTTTGGTGGCCAGAACCGCGTTTGGATAGAACACTTTCTCATTGTCAAGCTTCAGAAACACTGTCGTTAACAGGTTCATCTCTTCAACCATAAGCTGTGAGATTAAAAAAGAAGACGAAAACAATCGAAACATGAAAGTTTTTTCAGATTTGATAGCCAAGAAACAGTTGACGCCAGGAGAAAAAAGATGAATTTTGTCTTGATTTACCGGAATGCCATCAACGACACAACGGTCACCAACATCAAATGGGTGCATCACAAACACAAACACCATGGATTCAAAGAGGTTCTTGCAGGTGCTTCCGATCATAAAAGCCAGAGCCACTATTTGGGTCGAAAAGAAAACAAGAACCTTTGTTGTTGCTACCTCCAGAAGGAGCAACAAAATGACAACTGTAACAATCACCAAGACCACAGATACGAGTTTGTTTAACTGCTTAACGGCTGTCTTTGTGTCGGTTATTGAATGTGCCAGAGCTTTCCGGCTCGTGTAAACCTTAACCTGTTAAATGGGAAGACAAAATAAGAGTAAAGATGAAACCATTTTAAACTTTATCATCTATGAAACTATATCATAGATCTTTAGAGGGAGAATAATTTGCCGACCCCAAATGAACTTGGGAATGAGGCGATGTTGTCGTCGTTGTTTAGAGGGAGAATAAACAGAAAAATTTCTGAAAACTTGACAGTTTCCTGTAGTTAGAAATTTAAATTCTGCTTGAGAAAGTGTTTCAAGGACTTACCACCCACTCTGTAAGAGCTCTTCGTACAATTTTCCCAGTCTCGGCACCTTCAAACAACGGGAATATAAGATCTACCTCTTCCTTAATCATGAACCTCATCAGGTCATCTTCGTCGATGTAACTACAAAAAATGAAGGCAAGTCCAAGATTATGAGGATTTCATCAGGGATCGAGAAGAAAAATGGGCAAAAAGAGTTGGAAGCGTAATGGGTATTGTTCTTACTCATGACCCGGTTTAGCAACATTCTTGAATACATCATAGGCAGCAGCCACAGCCTCCATTTCACTTGTGATCTCTTTATCAGAATGCTCTTGCCCGTCGGCATAAGTAGTTTCGTCCAACGTGTTAGAGATAGTTGAGAGACCTGAAGTTCTGACCGCTTCAACCAAAATCCGCATTGTCCAAGCAGAAACCTTCTCTTGCTTAATCTTATGAAACTTTCCCATATCGATAACTTTTTTCTCTTTCACCTTTGTCCCTTTCTTGACACTTGTGAAACTAAGTCGACCCGTGCTTGGCTCACGCCCAACCCTCTCAGCCTCTTCGATAAGCGGAGGTCCAGAGAGGGTCTGGAGAACATATTGATGGAAGATGGACTCTTGAATTCTATCGAAGAAGTTGTTGACGTTGAAATTCGAAGCTAGGATCTTCAGTAACAATGTCTTCACCAGCCAGAGAAATGCCCCGATAAGAATGGAAACTAGAGTCCAAGATATAATGTTCAGGACTTTTGTGGCTTTACGCGAGCGTTTAACTCCGGTATTGAACAACAACACCCATGTAAGAAGAACCAAACTTAGCCAAATAAAGACTTGAACACTCTTCTTCAAACCGTGGACAAAGTAGAGAACCTTCCTCCTCAAAAGGAAGTTCTTTTCTATCAGGAAGACAACGAAATGCATGAACCAATTCGTCACCAACATGCCACAAAATGTCACCATTGCAAGAACACACCATTTCCAGACCTCCAATCCCCAAACAGATTTCTTTTTCAACATATCAGCAGTTAAACTTGCAACCAGCATGCCTGCCATGCTCACAAAGACAAACATCTCGATCAAAGCCAGAGTACTAACTCTGCCACGCTTCTCTTTATTCAGTTTAACCTTTTTGTAGATTTCCTCATCTATATCTTTCTCCTCAATCTCAGCAGCTTTGCTCGGGGTCAAAGGGACTGTGGATCCGACACTCCTAGCCGACTTGTTATTCGGGGATCCGATATTAAAAGATCGTCTAGAGAAAGACCCTGCACCAAAATGTTCCCTGAGAGTTCCACCATTCTCTTCTAGCTGACTCGGGTCTATTGGATAAGCTTGTTCCACAAACCGGGACTTAGGCTTTGAGTAAACTGATCTTGCAAGGGATTTTCTACGAGTAAGACCTTCCTTACTGGGGGTTGGAACTTTCGGGGGCTTGTGAGGGCTACCGGTCAATTTCGAGATTTCGGGAGATGGGCAATTCATCATGGCCACTGCTCTTGGAGACCTGGCTGTTGTGGTTGACTCAGGTGAAACTCCTTCCTTGAAAGGGGAAGCTGGCTTTGAATCCTTTGACGCTTCTTGACCTGAAACCTCGATAACATATTCGCCTCCATTGGCGTTTTTCCTCTCAGCCATTCCTACTTCACCTCCTCCCATTGGATTCGACATGGTGTTTTGAGGGATGAATCAGGTTCTCAAACCTGAAAAAGAATGCAACTTTATCAGCTTTTTAGCCTCAACCAAGCCTCAATGGCAACTGTAGCTCCTTCCATCAAACCTAATCCTAGAAACGCAAAGACGAGCAATGTACCAGTTCCTATCATTGATCAAGAACCTTTTTTCCCAAAATGGAGAAAGTTTTCAGAAGCTTAATTCCCAAAATGGGGACCTCCGGTACCCACCTCAGCTTTCAAAATCTGACCCTAAACCCGAAGACCAGATACTGCTCATTGCACACATCCAGAAAGAAACATTTTTAATGGGAAAAGCCTGAATTTTTACAATATTCAAAACCCCAGGAACCTCTTGGGAAACCCACAATTTGTCCAACTAAAGCAACAAGAAAGATCGAAACTTTCCAGGGAAAAAGCACACTTACAAGGGAAAACCAACACTTTCCAAGAAAAAAAAAACATAATCAGCAAAACCTGATCAAACATACGGAATGATAGAGACTCTTAATGGGAGGCAGGTACGTGCTCACAATAACTTCTCACCAAACCCAGCTCTTGCACCAGAAAGACCTTCCAGAGGAAAAACTATGATGCCACTATGAATCAGAGCACAGTATGTATAGTGGAAAAATCGATAACGAAATCGAATAATTTGTGGGAGAAAGATCCAATGGGATCCACAACGATCACGAATTAAGCAGTGGGCATCGAAAAAGAGTTAGTGGGTATTTTTATTACACTTTCTTTAGACTCGAGAAAGTGGGATGACACAACAAGCTACAATGACACAACAGAACCGCCATTGGGACAAAACATCAGAGCAGATGGCTTCATGAAAATAAAAAAAACCCAGAAAAGATGAATCAGGAAATAAAGCAAATCGAGAAAGAGAGAGAGAAAACGAGAGGAGGGAAAAGTAAAGAGAAACAACAGAAGATCGTCGGACAAAGACAAGAAGGAAGAGCCGAGAATTCTTTATTCTTCACATTAGGGGGAAAAAAAAAGTTTAAAACTTTTGTTTTCAACCTTTAATGCATTTGAAAGGGGATTAAATACCAACCAAAGTCTTAAAGTTAAAACTTAAAACCACGCTATATTAAACTATTGTTAAGTTTACATGAAAAAGAAAGAAATACACGTGACTGCAAAAATCTCATATTTAGATTATAATTTTATAAGATTTTTTTTTTTTTAGGTTTTGGAGATTTTCTGTAATTATGTTTACAATTATTAGACTTTTAATTATTCTAGCATTTACAGATAGATATTATATTTTAATGAATTAAATATCTAAACTATAAAAATAAAATAAAATCTAATATTGCGATAATTTTATAAAAAATATTTTTTTGTTACGCTCTTCAAATTTAATGAGGCTGAATACGATTGCTTGATAATAAAATTATAATCTGGATAAATGATGTGTTGTCGGTTGAATGTGTCGCTTTTTAAATTTGTTTTTTTTAATAGACGAATCTAAAAAGTCCAATGTTTTGGTGAAATTGGGTAGTACGAAAATAACAACTGGAAAAAAAAATGGCGCACAAAGGCAATATGTTATATGTATGCGAAATAAAATACCTTATTTAACTAATATTAATATTTAAAAAAAATAGTAACTATAATTTTCTGAAATATTCTTTATATGATCCGAAAATGAAAATATACATAATACATTTATCATAATTTAAAATGCGTTTAATAAACACTAATCCTCCACGATTTTAACGTGTTCATGGGTGCATGCATGGGCTGATAGTGGTGGGGATAAGCCATGTGGCCCAAACCAGATCTCCATCGATTTTTTTAAAAAATATTTAAAAAATAAAGTCCAAACGATAAATATAAAATTTCGATTTTTGTATTTCCCATTGATTTATGAATTTTCAAATTGATTTTGAGCGGAAATCTGCAGCTCCTTGCCACCCACATGGCCATTATGTCACGGCACTTCAAATTTTTACCATCCGTCAAATAATTATAAAATTTATGGCGTTTCATGACAACAGCTAATATATATACATATATGGCAATAGAGTTTTGGTCCAATCATATAATAAAGTTTTTTTACTATTCCACGAATTTGATTAGAGAGGGATTAATGCACAAGGGTGGGTCCAAATCCATTAATTTGAGCTTTAATTATGCATTTGCAAACGCCATGGTCACAAGCGGCTCCCCATCCAAAGCAAATGACGAACCCACAATCTTTATCCGTACTGCACTTCGTCCCCTTCCCACCTTCTTCCACGAGCTCTCTCGTGCATGCCACATCTACCACCATAATCAAAACGTTAGATACATATATATGTATGCACGTGTATAAATATTCATATATATATATAAACACACACTCATGGGTTGAATACATTATATAGTATGGAAAGTGTTGAGAAGACATTTACAAGATGACGTTATCAACAGAGCGAAGAGGACTAGGGTTGCGATGTAAGCCTTCGACATTTTAGAAAAAAAAATTTAAAATAAAAATAAAAAGGATTTAGAATTTGAATTTTTAATCTTGTATTCAAGAGTGAGATTATATGTGTTTATATACACAAAACAATGACAACATGTCCTTAATTTAGGCTTATTATATGAAAACATGTTCCTAGTTTTAAGAAAATTAAGACAAAACAATCAAATCATATAATTTGAATGTTTTTAATCTTGTATTCAAGAGTGAGATTACATGTGTTTATATACACAAAACAATGCCAACATGTCCTTAATTTACGCTTATTATATGAAAACATGTTCCTAGTTTTAAGGAAAGACAAAACAATCAAATCCCTAGATTTAAGCATATCACTATTATGCCCCCGCAATATCAATATCGGATGAGAAGCCGATCTTGGACCGTAAAAACTCGAATCGGTGATGAGGAAGGGGTTTGGTGAGCGCATCAGCAAGTTGATCTGCTGAAGAGACATGAGAGACTCGAAGTTTGTTGGCCTGAACAAGTCCGCGAATGTAATGATAGTCAATAGCAATGTGTTTCATCCGAGAGTGGAACGCCGGGTTCGCCGAGAGATAAGTGGCACCAATGTTATCGTAGTAGATAACCGGCATGGGAGAGATAGAGACACCAAGCTCAGATAGAAGTGAGACAAGCCACTGAACATCTGAAGCAGTAGTGGAAACCGATTTATACTTAGCTTCGATTGAAGACTTGGCAGCAAATCATTGCTTCTTGGAGGACCATGAGATGGGGTTGTGGCCGAGATATATAATGTGAGCTCCAGTGGAGGTGAAGTCATCACGATTGCCACCCCAGTCGGCATCCAAAAAAGCGTGAAACGACAGAGATGTGGAGCTGGAGAGAAAGATACCAAGGGTGCGAGTTCCACTGAGATAACGGAGAACACGCTTCAGAGCTTGCCAATGATCCGAGGTTGGTCGATGTATGAATTGCGATAACTTGTTGACGGTAAAAGCAATGTCAGGGCGAGTAAATAGGAGGTATTGGAGACTGCCCAAAATTTGTCGGAAGTCGGTAGGATCATCAAGAGGAGTGTCAGAGTGAAAGTGGAGGGCCGACGTGGAGGGCATGAGAGTCGGCACGGGATTTGCCGAGGCCATATTATGTAGGGGTGGGCACGGGCGGGTACCCGGACTTTTTAGGGTATCTCGATCTCGGTCTCGATCTCATCGTGTTTTATAATGAAATGTCTCGTTCTCTATCTCACGAAGCCCGGGTACCCGTGACTCGGATACCCGCCACACGAGATCGGGTACTCGCGAGATCCGATCGCGAGATCCAAACCCGTGAGTGACTTAAAAAAATCTGTGCAGAATCTTTCCCAGCATCAACAACGAAACCGAGGCCGAGATTCGAACAGAGACGGATTCGAACATCAACACTACAAATGAAATCTTACCCGAACAGAGAGAGAGCAAGACAGAGACGAGGCAGTCGAGCAGAGGGGGAATAAAGTTGTGAAATAAGCCAGACAAGGCAGAGTGGAACAGAGACGAGGGAGGCAGATTCGAACAGAGAGACGGAGAAAATCGAAGGCGGAGAAAGAGGAGAACACCGAATAGATAGAGATAGAGACGAAGGGAGTCTGAGCACCGAAGACGAGACTAACGACAAGCTTGAGACGCAGACGACGAGACATGAAGGAGGCAAACTGAGACAGCCGGCGAAATGGACTAACGGAGGGAGACACATACGGTGGAGACGAACAGAATCGAGGGAGAGACGATGAGACGGCGAGACGACGGAAACAGAATCTATGGACCTATCCAAAAAAAGTATGTAGTGCTTCCACCATGGATGACTAAAAACAACTTCTAAGAAGGAACGAAGAGAAGACAAAGAGAGAGTGAGTCTTTGACAAAAAAAAAAAAAAGAAAAGGAGGTGAGAGGTTGACGACGATAAAGAGATTAGGTAGAATAAAATTAGGGTTAGGTTAGAATTAGGTATTTTGTAAAATTATTAAAAATAAAGGATATTTTTGGAATTTTTGAATATTATCGGGTATCCGCGAGATAACCCGTCAGAAAATCTTTAAACTCGAACCCGAACCCGAAACTCGGGTTTTTCATCTCGTTAAACCCGTTTTCTATCTTGTTATCTCACGAGTTACATGTTTTGGATACCCGTGAGACAAGGTACCAGTGAACCCGCGGGTCTCGGGTAAAAATGCCCAGCCCTAATATTATGGCATGAGAGGATGTCTGTGATGTAGCGTCGTTGCGTGAGAAGAGTTCCCTTACTTGTCCGGGTAACTTCAACACCAAGGAAGAAAGCTAGATCACTGAGATCCTTGACGGAAAAGCGTTGAGCTAAACGATCAATGAATTCTTGTACCGATGCATTGTGACTACCGGTGATAATGATGTCATCCACATAAACAAGGAGATAGATGACAACATTATCACGGTGGTAGATAAACAAAGAAGTATCAGAGAGAGAGTTACTAAACCCGGAGTGGAGGAGAAACTGGCAAAACTAATTTTACCATGCCCTCGGAGCTTGCTTAAGACCGTATAGAGCTTTGTGAAGTTTGCATAGAGATGAAGGATTATCTCGATCGATGAATCCCGACGATTGGGTACGATAGACATCTTCATGAAGTGTGCATTGGAGAAAAGCATTGTTGACGCCAAGTTGTCGTAGAGTCCAACCTTTTGACACGACAATGCTTCGAACGGTGGCATGTTTGATAACTGGACTGAATGTATCAGTGTAGTCAATACCGGGCCGTTTGTTGAAATCCCTTTGCCATGAGACGAGCTTTGTACCTGTCAACAGAGCCATCAGATAAACGCTTAGTTCGAAAAACCCACTTATAACCAATGACGTTGTAAGACGGGTGTGGAGGTACAAGACTCCAAGTGTCGTTGCGAAGCAAGGCATTAAACTCCTCCGTCATCGCACTTCGCCATTTTGGATCCTTCAAAGCCTGCGAAACACACGTGGGTTCCAAGTCTTGGGAATGGTCAAGAGTGGTGGATAAGGAGATTTTAGGGTTAGGTTTGGTGATGTGGTTTTTAGCCCGAGTGACCATTGGATGAGTGTTGGTGGTGACTAATGGCTCAGTGACGATTGGTGGAGGGTAGGCCGATGTAATAGGTGGACTATGTGAGGGATCTGAGAGTCGAGATGGTAATGGTGAGGTAGTATCATGCGGGTCACGGTGTAAAGAGTCTGACGAGGGGTCGTAGTGTTTAGTCAAGGGTGAATCGGTGTGTTCTGGAGATGAAGGAGCCAAACGTGGGAGCATCACGGGCGCTGATGTGTTTGTCGACGGCCAAGTCGGAACAAGTGAGGAGTGAGAATGGGAGGTAGATAGGGGTGATGTAGAACCGACGTTAGAGGCCGAGACGAGACGAGAGTAAGGAAACTCAGACTCGACGAACTCAACATGTCGGGATACATATAACCACGATGTAGCAACACGGAAGCAAAGAAAAGCATTTTGTGTAAGAGAGTAACCAACAAATATACAAGGTGATTGGGAATCAAGTTTGTGTCGGGAATACGGCCGAAGCCATGGGTAGCAAAGACAACCAAATGTGCGAAGTTTGGAGTAGTTTGGTGTGACAGTGAAAAGAAGCTCAAAGGGAGACCGATGACCAAGAACCGACGTAGGAAGACCGTTAATTAAGTATACGGCCGTTGGGAAAACGAGGGTCCAAAACTCGGGTGAGATAGATGCATGGGAAAGAAGGGTAAGACCCGTTTCAACAATATGGCGATGTTTTCGCTCGGAGAGGCCATTATGTTCAGGTGTATGGGGAGTTGTTGTGAAATGTGAAATACCATTAGTGGATAAGAAATATTTGAGTGCGATGTACTCGCCACCGTTGTCGGAATATAATGTGACTATTTTTGTTTGAAAACGGTTTTCGACAAGAGGTTTAAAACGAGTGAAAACGGTAGAGACATGAGACTTTTGACGAAGGGGATAGAAACCATGTATAGCGAGTGAAATGATCGACAAAAATGACGTAGTATTTGAAGACGTCAAAAGAAGTAAGAAGAGACGTTCAAACATCGGAATATAAAATTTCAAGAGGACGCAAAGAAGTAACCGAAGATATAGAGAATGGAAGCTTGTGACTTTTAGTAATAAAACATGGTTCACAAGACAAGACTTGAGAATTATGTGACAATGGTAGAGAAAAATGAGAAACAACAAAATGAAGGATATCTTTAGATGGATAGCCTAGCCTAGAGTGCCACTCAAAAAGGGAAGTCTTGGCACTCGAGAGTGCAAGAAACGGTGACTTATTCGAAGGAGTTTGTAAAAGAGATAGACTCAGACTTGACCAAACATACACACCATTATGGAGCTGCCCGGTTACTAGTATTGCCCTCGTGTTGAGATTTTTCACCTGAAAGAAATGAGTAAAGAATTCCACTGAGACATTGTTAGACTGACAAAGTTGATGAATAGAAATGAGGTTTTTATGCATGGACGAGACAAAAAGAACATTATGAAGTAATATGGGACGAGTGTTAGAGGGAAGAGTGAAAGAACTCGTGTGTGTTATAGCAAGGCCGGAACCATCTCCGATGGTGACTTCATCTCCGCCATTGTAAGGAGCGTAAAGTGATAGGTTGGCGAGATCGGTGGTCACATAGTGGGAGGCTCACGAGTCAAGTAGCCAAGAAGCATCGTATAGTGATGACATAGCGACTGAAAGGCCAAGGGCTGCCACGGTGCGGGACCAGGCGGTGATGGCCGGTCCGAGAAGGAACGAAAGGGGGAAGGAAGAAGACGACATGTTCGAGCACTATGTCCTTATATCCCGCAAAGTTGGCACTTGCCAAAGTATCCCCGAGAAGAAGAGGAACGAGGGGATGTACCACGAGACTGCGTGAATGATGGTCGAGGGGACTTCGAACTTGAGTAAGGTCGAGGGCCTTGTAGAGAAAGAGGACACCACGAGCCTCGGAAGCCATGTTGAGACATGTTGGCCGTGATCGGTGTGTTGAGCAATGGGGTCGCGGTTGCAAGGTCGATGTCGTGACTTAGGAGCTTCTCATGAAGCTCCACAAACAAGATTGTGGTGTCCTATGCGTGAATGATGTCTTTGACCGGTTTGTATTCATCACCGTGGCCACCGAGAATAAGATCAACAAGGTCTTCATGGTCCATCGGTTTACCAAGGAGAGCGAGTTCATCGGCTTTCACCTTGAAGAAGTTCATGTACTTATCCACGGTTTTGGCTCCTTTGGTGTAACGCCTCATGTGATCCTTGATGAGTTTGACATAGCCTCGACTGGAGCGGCCATAGGTTTGAGCAATTCGAAGCGACGACCGAGGCAACGAGGGTTTGGCAACTCTCAGAAATCGATTCGAGTAACGCCGAGAAAACGAGCCGGTCTTGCCTAAACCATGGCGTATAGACGGGGTTTGAGGAGACCACGTTGTCGGAGGTGACCGTCGGTGTTGGAGCTTGTGTCGGATCTAAGGAATCCGTCGAGATTATATCCCTGAAGAAGAGCTCGGATTTGGAGACTCCACGTTAAATAATTGGTGGTTATGAGTTTCGAGACATTCGAAACGTTGACGTTGATCAACGGGTTGTCGGAGCTATAAGGAGTCACGGTGTCGGTAGGAAGAGTTGATGTGTTGTATAAGATGTTGGCGGCCATATCGATAGAGAGGCTCGTAACGAAAGAGAGGCGACGGTCGTGAGGAGGAGGAAGAAGATTAAGGTTTAGAAAGAAAAAAAAAAATCTTTCGATGGTAGTTGTGATACCATAAAAAAGATTTAGAATTTGAATGTTTTTAATCTTGTATTCAAGAGTGAGATTACATGTGTTTATATACACAAAACAATGACAATATATCCTTAATTTAGGCTTATTATATGAAAACATGTTCCTAGTTTTAAGGAAAAACAAAACAATCAAATCCCTAGATTTAAGCATATCACTATTAAAAAACACCTAAGGGTTTTGAAGTAGAATATAAAATTAATCGCTAGAATTTATAAAAAAAAAAATTATTTTTTGTTATAGTTTTGGCCAAGAAGATGATGTGGTTAAATGTGTATATATAGGCAAAGGAATATAACAAGTTTGACCATATCCTTTGCCGGATTAGGAATATGTAAAAATATATTTTCATTTATTTCATAATATATTGATTTTGACTAATTACTATATATATAATGGGGTTAACTATTCTCCCTGCTATATTAAACATTTAATAGAAAATAAATAAATATTTTTTTTGGACAGACAAACTCCAAATTAAATATTGAAATGAATGGAACAGAACAAGTTTATTGAAGTTATAAGCTAATCTCGCCAATTTAATTTGAGATATGGAAAGTTTATAACTAAATTTTTAATTCAATCTCAACGTTTTGAATATGAACCGACCTTATTTAAATGCATAAACATAAAAACAATGATAAAATAAAATATGGTAGCACGATGACAGAAAACAAGAAATTTATTTATTTCCCACGTTTACCCTAATTTCCAGGAATCCGAGATTTCCAATGTCTCTGTTACCAAAGAACTTTAGCATCTCCATGATTTTGTTGTCATTCTTTGACCAGTGTAATTTTATTAAAGTTTTATGTAATTTATTTTTATTTTCTAACAATTTTTTTAAATTGTCATTACTGGTATAGAGCTTCGGAAAAGTTAATGTAGATGCTATAAACAGTACGGACAACATTAGTTTTGTTATCAGTGCGATTCATTATATTTCATAATATATATATATATTCCGATAAAGCATATACTTTAATTTATTTCTGAAAAAAAATATTTGGTATTTGTTTTCAATAATTATATTAAAATTTTGCCAAAGTCGTGGATCACTGTTCAAGCCCATTAAGGGCCCATTGGAGTTAGGTAACGATTCTAACGAAGGCCGTAGCACAGTAATAATAGAAAAAGACATCATAGCCGTTGAAAACTGATCCTCTTTTCTCCGCCGTCCGATATTACTACTCCAAACTTAATATTAAGGATAAAATCTATAAAAATTCTAAAACTGATGGTAGAAAATAAATTTTTAAATTTTTTATCAAACAAATTTATTCTCAAATCATAAAATGTCATTAATTATAATCCTCAAACTTATAAAATATATCAATAAAATTCTTAAACTTATTTTAAAATGTCGAGATTTTTTTTAACACCAATTAAAAAATTTAAGAATTATAATAACATATTTTATAAATTTAAAATAAATTTATTAAATACAAAATTTAAAAATTTTGTTTTCTATTATTTTACAAATTTAAAATTTGTTTATGAGTTTTACCTTTCCATAATACGGTCCAACCTTTGCCTTGTTCAAACGACTTAACTGTATTTTTATTTGAGTCAACCGATATTTTAATTATGTACCGATATTTTAATTATGTTGTTGACCAATTCTTAAAATATAACAAAACCCAGGTATTTATATATATATATATATAGCCTTTTTTAATTGTCACTTGTACGACTTTGTCTTCACAAGACTTGGTCAACGCACTTTTCTTCTTGAGACTTTGTCGATGTAATCGATCGAGCAGAAAATTAGCAGAGATTCCAGATTTCCCCGTGTGAAAATTCTCATGCTTTAGCTCCTGAATCTGATGGTAAGTTCATCTCGTGGCACTCTCTTTGTTCTTCGCCGGCATTTGACACTTGTTTGCTTCTCTTACATCTATCATGAGTCATCTGAAAATTCCCTTTAAGACCAAATCTGATCTTTCCGACAGTAGAGTTCTGTAATTAGGGCACGGTTCTGGTGTTATGATCTGAGCTTGCATTGATCTCCTGAAGAAGAAGCTCGTTTCGAGAGATTTCGGTTAAAGTTTCGTAACATCTCTTGATCTTTGTCATGTTTTACCCTTGTTGTTTTCTGAGTTCTTCTACTTCCTCCTCGTGCATTTACCGACAAAACATAACTTTCCATGGAGATCTGTCTTTCTTGATAATCTTGTTCAACAACTTGTTTTCTTTCCGCAGCTTCCGTGTCAGATATAGGTGAAATCATGGAACGGATTCAAGAACGGTGGAGCTACGACGTGTTTTTGAGCTTCCATGGATCCGATACGCGGAAGAACTTTACAGATCATCTTTATTATGCTCTGACGGATAACGGTATACACACGTTCAGGGACGATGTAGCATTGCCGAGAGGAGAAAACATCGTCTTAAAGCTTCGAGAAGCCATCGAGACATCCAGAATTCTCATCGTCGTCTTGTCCAAGAACTATGCGTCATCTCCATGGTGTCTTGAAGAGCTTCTGTGCATTATGAACTGCTGCAGATGTAACTCCAGACAAATGGTTCTTCCGATTTTTCACGACGTTCATCCGTCGGATATCCGGAGACAGATAGGGACAGTTGCTGAAGCGTTTTTGAAACACGAAACCCGAAACCCGTCGAACAAGGTGCAGAGTTGGAGAGTAGCTTTGAGAGACGTCGCGAATTTGTCCGGGTGGCATTTGAGTGACCGGTCAGTTTGGTCTTGTTTCCCATTTGTTCATGACAAAGCATATTACATGTTTAAAACAAGTAAAGGATCTGAATTTGAGTGTAGCATTGTTCATTTATGCAGGTACGAAGCAGAATGCATCAAAGAAATTGCTAGAGAGATTCTTCAAAAGTTGGACAGTTCATACCTGCGTGTAGCATCATATGATGTCGGAATAAGATCGCGTCTGCATCATTTTTTTCAACTCATGAGCATCGGGTCTGACGATGTCCAAGTTATAGGAATCTGCGGGATGGGCGGGCTTGGTAAAACAACGATAGCCAAGGCCGTGTATAATGAACTCTCGCATCTTTTCGAAGGAAAAAGTTTCTTACATAACTTCAGAGAGCATTTCGTTACACCCGAAGGGAAATTCCATCTGCAGGAACAACTTCTTTCCGACATCTTGAAGAGAAGCGACACAGCGGTCAAAGGCACCATTAACGCGTTAAAAGGAAGATTCCGCCAGAAAAGGGTACTCGTTATAATCGACGATGTTGAAGACTTGAGCCAGCTTAACTCAACAGCAATAGAGGTGAGCTGGTTCGGTCCAGGAAGCAGAATAATCATTACAACTAGAAACAGGCATTTACTGAAGCAGCTTGGGGTCGAAAGAATGTATTTACCCGAGGAACTTACCGGAGGTGAATCCCTCGAGCTTTTCAGCTGGCATGCCTTCGGGAAAAAACAACCGCCTGAAGAGTTTTCCGGGCTCTCGGGAAATATAGTTGAATACTGTGGAGGACTACCCTTAGCTGTAGAAGTCTTGGGTGCTTTTCTGTCCAAGAGAACCATTAGAGAGTGGAAAAGTACTTTGGCATTGCTGAAACAACAACCCGACGATAAAATTCAAGAAAAACTTCGAATCAGCTTCGACGGACTGAGCAGTGTACAGAAGGATATATTCTTGGACGTCGCCTGCTTTTTCATCGGAATGGATAAAGACTATGCGAGTTATATATTAGATGGATGCGGGTTATGTCCCGACATAGGACTCAGTGTTCTAATGGATAGGTTTCTCATTACAGTCCACGACGACAAGCTAATGATGCATGACTTGATACGAGACATGGGGAGGCATATTGTCCGAGAAAAATCTCCCAAGAACTGCGGAAAACGTAGTCGAGTGTGGGAACCGGATGATGCTTTTGATATATTGACGAAATATTCGGTAGGGACCAACGTATTGCATTCCTTTATTATCGAAAGAATCATTACCAGGAGAGAATGAATCTTGCAAGAGTTTCTGTCTAAGAAGTTTGCTTGTCCGATGATGACAGGGGACAGAAGAAGTGGAAGGACTCAGCCTGAACGCTCAGGCTCTGGATACCAAGATCTTGGATGCTAGAGCGTTCTTGAATTTGCCCGAGTTGAGATTGTTACAACTCGGTAATGTACAAATCATAGGAAGCTATGAGAATTTTCCGAAAGGTTTACGGTGGCTTTGTTGGCACAAGTTTCCCTTGGAGATCGTACCGGAAAACTTTTATTTACGAGCCTTAGTTGTCATGGACATGCAGTACAGCAACCTGAGACGGCTTTGGAGTGCTAAGGGGGTACAAATCGAAACCAACTATGATCTCTTTCATGTTTCAACGAGCTTTTTCGGAGTTTTTTTTTTTCTCAGTTTGATTGTATACTTTCCGCTGTCTTTTGCAGGCTCAGCACCTTAAAAAGCTAAAATACCTTGATCTCAGCCATTCCTTTTATCTCACAGAGACTCCAGACTTCTCTTATCTCCCGAACCTCGAGAAGATCCTATTGGTGGATTGCAGAAGCTTGGTTTTGATTCACAGTTCCATCGGGATTCTTCACGAAAAACTCGTATTCTTGAATTTGAATGGTTGCATTCGGCTTGAGGGCCTCCCTTCAGAGCTTTACCAGCTGAAATCTCTGGAGACTCTCATTCTCTCAGGTTGCTTAAAACTCAAGAAGTTGGATGATGCTTTAGGCGGAATGGAAGGTTTAACGACTCTTCTTGCAGATCATACGGCTATAAAGAAAGTGCCCTCTTCGATCATTCGGCTGAAGAGACTGAAAAGTTTATCCCTTTGCGGCTGCAAGAGATCATGGAATAATGGCTATGCCCATTTTGGAAGAAGCCCTCTCCCCGTCTCGTTAATCAGCTTAAACTCTCTCAAGGTTTTACGTCTAAGTTACTGCAGTCTATCCGATGAGCTGATGAACCCTTATGACATCCGGAGTTTCCCTTGTCTCGAGGAACTTGACTTACGGGGCAACGATTTCCAGAATCTGAAAACCGATTTTGCGAGATTTCAGAATCTCTTGATTCTCAGATTGGATAACTGCTCAAAACTCCAGTCGATTTATAGCTTACCCACGAGCTTGAAATACTTGCATGCTGCTGACTGCGTATCTCTGGAAAGAACTCCCGATCTTTCGGGATGCTCGTTTCTGCAAGCTCTGTACCTCACCAACTGCGTCAACCTTGTTGAGGCAACCGGTCTGGATAAACTGAAAACGATTAGAGTCATCCGCATGGAAATGTGCAAGCGCATATCGAATTCTTTCAAAGAGAGTCTCCTCCAGGTTCGTTTCTTCATTCATTCTTCTTTTTCTTCGTCCGAATCTAATCTTGATTGAACGAAAGAGTTCATGCGGTCGTGGTTGAAGAATATTCTGTGTTAATAGGGGTGGACTGTGAGGGGCTATGGAGGAATTTTTCTTCCAGGATCAAGACTCCCGAGCTGGTTCAGCTTAAAGGATGAGACGAAATCGGTCTCTTTCACAGTTCCTGAAGCTCATAATCTTGATTCCGTAGGGATGAAGCTATGCGCGAGTTACACGAGTAATCTGAACAATGTCGTGTCTGAATACTCTCCGACCATCACAGTGAAGAATCACACGAAGGGTAGTGTACGGACATGCAGGACGGAAGAACTTGACGTTCGTATGTACCGTGAACAACATCTCTGTCATGGTCACCTCCCGAACGATGATCTGGATTTTGAACAAGGTGATCGAGTGGAAGTTGAAGTGGATTTCGGCGGTCAAGTCACTGTTCTTCAGACAGGGGTTGCTCTTGTCTACGAAGCGAAAGAGTTGTATACAGAATCTCTGTGTAGACCACGCATCGAGTACAACCATGCATCAAACGAACATGGTATTGTTTCAACAGAAGAAGGCTCCATTGATGAAACCAGAGACGAGCAATTGAAGGAGAAAGAGGCTGAAACTATGGAGGATTTCTCTGGAGTGAATGACTGTGGTGATTACCCGGAGATACCAACGTGTGATTATGGCTTAAACCCTTTTATTGCTGTCTGATGAAGTAAACTGACACAAAATCATAAGAAAAGTCTGTTCCTTTGGATCTGAGAAAGCAGTTATCTTTTTTTTTTTACAGGGACAGAGCCATGGGAGAAAACCATCGAAGACCTCTCAGGTGAGTAAGAACATGTGTACGTAGTCAACTGTGTTTCTCCATATTTCTTCACGTTTGGAATTTTGTTGTTTGGATGCTAGGAAAATGAGTGGAGGTGCGAGACTATTCCTTGGAGCATTTGGTTTCTTGGCGTTCATTGTTGCTGTCGGAAAATATGGCATACCTCAGCGGCGGAAATGTCAGATGGAGCAGACAAGATGAACCCTCTCTTTGAATAAGAGTATCTCGTTTTCTGCCGCTCATGCTTGCTCGTCGACTCCCACCGCGCCACGTGTCATTGGGCGGTCACAAGACGAGTTATCCCAGATCCACTTGTCAAACCTCTTCAGAAGGCAGCAACCAAAGACCGGTCTGACGGTGACGGTGACGGTGACGGTGCTACAAATTTGTAGGGCATGTAAACTCCAAATAAATTGCAAGTTGCAGTGACTGAAACCGAATCTGGTAAATTAAATTTGAGATAAAGACAAATTAGAGCAAATTAAGGGTATTTTTGATATAATGCTTTTTGAATTTGAACTGACATTTAAATAATTACACGAACATAAACGATGACAAAATAATATAGTATCACGATGCTAAAAATAATAAATGTATTTATCAAAAAAGAAATAAATAATAAATGTATTTAAATCCCGCTTTCAAGGAATCCTCGATTTCCGAGGTCTCTTTTACCCAAAAACTTTAGTATTTCCATGATAGTTTAAACGTAGGAAAAATCAATGTAGATCCTATAACCTAGTACAGACGACACATATTTTATATATACTTAAGAATAATTTTTTGTTTCAAAAAAAATAAATGACTTTTTCAGATTTTTTATGTATATTTTTATATTTTTTCCAATTTTACTCATTCTAATTAAATATCTTAATACAATAATTATTTACATAATATATTTAAATCTAAAACGCCAATGTAAAATAAATTAAACGGAGGGAGTATTTGGTATTCACGATTCCTCCTCGATTCAACGATTTATGGTGGATTTTTTTTTTAAATTTATTTCTGGAAAATCTAAATAACTGTTAAAGCCCATTATAGGCCCAATGAAGTGTTAATGAAAGCCCATAATAATCACAGAAAATACACCACCACCGTTGAAAACTACTTCCAACTCTTCGGTTAACAAAAACCGAACTTGTACCGACCCGGTTCACGTGGAAACACATCTTAAACCGGTGGGGAAATAAATTTCTCGTCTATTGCAGTTACTGGTTTTTGAGATGAACTTGTTGAGGAAGGAGGCTGTAATCTATCTGGAGCTCCTCGAACATTCTCTTGATGGCGAAAGCGAGCTCGGTCCTTCTGAGATTCCTCTCGCCCATTTGCTGGAAGGTGATGGTGTGCATGCATAACAAAGCCATCTTGATTTTGTTCACGTTTTCAATGGCCTTCACCAGCACGATGTGATCCGGCTGCCAGTGATGTGGATTCTGCTCCAAGTATCTGAACACGCAACAAAAAACCAGACAAGATCTTCAGATGTAATCCAAAAGACAAGAAAAAGATTCAAGTGGGGTTTTTTTTTTTTCCTGCACTTACTCGGCTATTCTTTCCTTGAGGCAAGCGATTCTCTCCATGGGCGTGGAGAATGCGATCGAGAATTCCACGGCTTCCCCCATTGACGGGCTTCTGTAGTAGTTGCTGATGGGTTTGGTGGCCAAAACCGCGTTCGGATAGAACACTTTCTCGTTGTCCAGCTTCAGAAACACTGTCGTCAACAGGTTCATCTCTTCAACCAGCAGCTGCCATGCCGAGGATGTAATAAGAACAAAGAAAGGATTAGGGCAAAACATAAGATTGTCTTGCGTCTGTCCATTGCAGAACGAAGAAAAAAGATGGAGTTAGTTAATTACCGGAACGCCATCCACGACGCAACGGTCACCCACATCAAAAGGGTGCATAAAGAACACGAACACGATGGATTCGAAGAGGTTTTTGCAACTGCTTCCCATCACGAAAGACAGAGCCACTGTCTGTGAGAAAAAGAACAGAAGAACCTTCGTTGTCGCGATCTCTAGAAGCAGAAGCCAAATGATGAGCGTAACGACGACCAAGATCACCGCTACAAGTTGGTTCAACTGATTTGCCGCCGTTTTCGTGTCGTTTAAGGAATGTGCTAGGGCTTTCCGACCGGTGTAAACCTTAACCTGTAACAAAAAAAAAAAAAAATCAGCAAATCACCTTTTCAGTATCTTTACCAAGAATGGTTAAAGATTAAAGAACATAAGAAGAATCTTACCACCCATTCTGTAAGAGCTTTCCTTGTAATTTTCCCGTTCTCTGATCCTTCGAACAATGGAAATACAAGATCCACCTCTTCCTTGATCATGAACCTCAACAGATCATCTTCATCGATGTAACTGCAGAACAAAACCGATGAATAATCGTTAGAATACACAAGAAAACAGTAGAGAAAGAGAAACTTGTAAAGGGAATGTGATTGGAGAGCGATATTACTCATGACCCGGCTTAGCAATGTTCCTGAAGATATCGAAAGCGGCAGCCTTTGCCTCCATCTCGCTCGTGATCTCTTTGTCAGTATGCTCCTTCTCGTAGGCGGTTTCATCTAACGTGTTGGAGATGGTGGAGAGTCCTGAAGTTCTAACCGCCTCGATCAAATTCCGCATCGTCCAGGCCGAAACCTTCTCCCGCCTCATGTTGTGAACCTTCCCCACATCAATCACTTTCCTCTCTTTCACCTTCGTTCCTTCTTTGACGCTCGTGAAACTTAGTTGGCCCGTGCTCGGCTCTCTCCCGACCCTCTCCGCCTCTTCGATAAGCGGGTGTCCCGAGAGCGTCTGGAGAATGTACTGGTGGAAGATGGATTCTTGGATTCTTTCAAAGAAGTTGTTGACGTTGAATTTCGAGGCCAAGATCTTCAGCAACCACGTCTTAACCAGCCAGAGGAATGCCCCGACCAGAAGGGAAACAAGAGTCCACCGTACAAAGTTTAGCACACTTGTGGCGCCGGGCGAGTGTTTAACTCCATGGTTGAACAGACAAACCCAAGTGACCAGAACTAAGCCGAGCCATATGAAGACTTGAACATTCTTCTTCAAGCCGTGGACGAAGTACAGAACCTTCTTTCTCAGAAGAAAGTTCTTTTCTATCACGAAGACGACTAAATGCATGAACCAGTTCGTTACCAGCATGCCGCTGAACGTCACCATAGCCAGAACGCACCATTTCCATACCTCGAGCCCCCAAACGAAACGTTCCTTCAACGCATCGATTGTTAAACTACAGATCAAAGCGCCTACCATGCCCGCGAATACGATCAACTGGAGCAAAGCTAGAGTACTCATTCCACCGTTCTTCTCTCTACTTTGTTTAACCTTTATATAGATTTCTTCGTCTTCGTCTTCGTCTTCATCTTCCTCTTCCTGGCCGTCTAATGATGCAAAACTCCTGGCTGATACGAAATTTTGGGACCCCATACCTAAGGTACTCCTAGACAACGAACCCAGATGGAAATGCTCACCGAGATTGCCGCTATGCTCCTCCAGCTTTCTCAGATCCATGGGGTGAGATTGTTCCACGAACCGGGACTTGGGCTTAGAGTAAACTGACCTTGTAAGAGATTTGGCCTTTGCTAGGCAGTCGTTATTACCATGGGCAGGGATTTTCGGCGGCTTGCAAGCGTTACCGGCGAGCTTCGGCTCCATTGAAGCTCCTTCTTTGAACGGGAAAGGTCGCTTTGTATCATCTTTCGACGGTTCTTCACCGGAAAGATCGATGACAACATCAACCTTTCCGACTTGGTTGCCTCCCAACGAGTTCATCATGGCTTCTGGAATCAAGCAGACTGTAAGTGATAGCAGGTTTGATCAGACAAAACCTGAGGATAGGCGATGCAAATGTATGGGAATCAATAAAACTGTCTCCAATCTGACAAAAACAACAGATCAAGTTAAGGTATTATAGACTGGTGAATAAGATTTAAACTTTCCCGGAAAAAAACCATACTTTCCAAGAAAACACGAGAAAAAAAATCAACCAAACTTTGAAATGAAAAGCTATATGGCTTGTGCTTACCAGTACTTCTTGCCAAACCAGCTCTTGCATCAGACTGATAATACTTGGAAGAAGTGCATGCAGGCACACTGATATATAATACACAAATATGCTATATATATATTTTATAATATAATCTTACTTTAATATTTCATACGCGTACACACTTCATACACAGTATATATTTTAATGTGGTCATTTGGCGAGAGGAATATGTATTTTTTTACGTATGGGCACTTATATAAGCACGTGAACATACATATATATATATATATATATGAGAGATCTGTTTGTATATAGGTTTATATATTTAGTAAACAAAAAGTTTAAACCATGTGATGTATTCATATTTTGTACATGTGTTGATTAACTTTAGTTTGGTTTCATGCGTTAGTTTGGGTTTCATGCATGCATACATCTCATTAAAAGAGGAAAGTCTAAATATTGCAATTTTAGTTTTCTTTTTATAAATTATATATTTTAGTCTAATTCACCAAGTTCTCATAAATATTTTTATATATTAGAGGCCAATGATAATTACATTGTTGTCAAATATATGATTTCATCATAACCTTGAAAGTTTTAATCAATCACTAAAAAAAACAACGATATTGTAATATAAATGGTAACACTTTTTTTTCGTTACTAAAGACACTGTCACTAGTTATGTTTCGTTGCAAATCTTTGCCTTTTCGGTTACGAAATTTCACTACTAATTGCATTAACAAATCGCAGTTTTTTTAGTGAATATAAAATATAATCTAATGGTTGTAAAATAGTTTCACATATCTATTATTTTATGGTCATTATTATTAAAAACTATATATTGCAAAGCCTTATTGTAACAATTAATAGTCATTGAAAATTTTTGTCATCATAAATTGTATGGTTGTTTTTCTAGTGTGTTCATGTGAAATAGATCTTTTACAATTGGATAAGATGTATTAAATAGCATTAATGTAAAGAATAATATGTTACACGGTCCAAAAAGCTATATATAAAAAATTATTAGACATACGGAATCTGTAAGTTATCGTAGTTCGCAAGACAGTCTAATAAAGACGAAGTCCAAAGATATCAAATCTCAAGAAATTAATAAATAAAGTTATATAAATTTTAAATGATTAAAATAAACCGATAATATATTTTTGTACCCATCTTTTTTTAGATCAAGATTATTATCCCAACCATCTATTATATCGCCATACTATCTATAATAAAGATGTAAATATCATTTAACGCACATAATATGATCATAATAAGTTTTTTTAAAATAATCATAATAAGTTAATAACGACGTCCAAAGAACCGAATATTATAATTTAATTCCCATAATAATAATAATAATAATGTTGATGATGATAAAACACTCCAGTTCCAGAAATAGTAATATAATCTATTTATTTGGGTTTCGTACCATAAATTTCACGTGCTACTTATGGACAACGGTACCAAATATAGACTATGCAAATTCATGACATATATTAATCCGTGATACAGCCAAAAATGTATATATATATATAAGTAGCAGGTAGATGTCTCTATAATGTTTTAGGTGAAAATATGTTACACGAGTCTTTTGTATATATATATATATTTATACACACACATTAGACAGAAGGAATCTATAACATATATTTAATACGTATCACAGTCTAATAAAGACGAAGTCCGAAAGTATCAAATCTCAAGAAATAAAAATAGTAAATCGACTAAATTTGAGATGAAAATTTTATTATATTTTTTATCTGTAAATATGTAAATATGGTGTAATGTAAATAGTACAAACTCAACAACCATGTCGAAAAAGAGAAAATACAAATTGTATATTTTAAATCGTTCCTCGTCCAACTGAAATTATTTTTCCACAATTATGAGATTTTTGCAAAATGTATAAAAAAAATATATATAAGGCATAATCTGTATCTTATACATAGGAAAATATACATTTGTAATTTTTTTTGGGACGATAAAACGATATTTGGAAACGGAAAAAATGTGTAAAACACAAGTGACTTTTTTTTTGATAAGATGTGCTTGTATTACTTTCCGACCAATTAGAGTTTTACAAAAACTAAACTATACAAAAAGGGATTCCCATGCGCAAAGCGGACAAAAGTAGAACCAGTGACCTAATTTAAACGATACCAATGTTGGAGATATTCATTCATGATTGTATTCGTCGGACTCTGTAGTGAGTATAGGATGCTTCTCATTGACCTGTCTACCTAATACAAGTGACTTATTTACATGGGCCATGAAGAAATGGGGTACACCTCCAACGCACACTTCATGGGAAGATATTCTGGACTGGTTGCTAGGCTGATGGACATGCAAAACTCGGTTATTGGGAGCCCAACTCACGTGGCAAACACGGTTGTACATTGTTTGGTTGGAAAGAAATTCTAGACTACATACGGGGTGCTTCAAGGATTTGTCTACCATCCGTAGAGATATTGATCGTTGTTTTCGAAACAAGATGGCGGCCATTCGATTTTCACACCATCAATTGGCTAGCTCCTTGCTCCAAATTTGGTTTTCCACTCCTTGACCGTTGTTCCAAACTTCTTTTTCATTGTTCACTTACTCGCTCACATCCTCCTTTGGTTAAGTAACTATACTTTTGTAGGTTGGTTAAACTCTTGTAGTACTTGATTATTATATATCAATACAAATACACCTTTTAACAAAAAAAAAAAAGTGTAAAAATGACAGCCATGAAGATGAGAGAAGATTCGAAGTACTTGCTCAAGAGACAACAATAATGATAAATTTTTTATCAAAAAAAAAAACAATAATGATAAATTAAGTTTTCCAATGCTCGAAACAGCATGGACGGTAATCTATTTCCATGCACAAATATTCAATGTAATATATATATACACATATATATATATATATATATATAGATATATATATATATATATATATATATATATCTCATCTCGATAATAATCCCACGTTGGTTTTGCCACATTTTTGTTTAGATATAATTATATAGTGTTTTTACTACAAAATTCGATTTTATGATATTTGATGATTGAGATATACTAGATCGGTAAAATTTTATCAAATTCGAAAAATATATATTTAAAAATGTTTTTTTATTATATTTAATTTATTTATTCAATAGAAAACCAACGTCTACTTATATATTACTTTGATATATTTGTTTTGGTACGTACTACTACTCGTCACCAACAAGAGTCAAAACATTAAAAAATAATCTTACAGGAATTCTAATGCTGAAGCCTCTAATTAATCCAGAGGCTTTGGAGGTACATCTGGGTTGCGACTTTGGACTTCGAATTTTGCGCTCCTCTCGTTTGATATTTTCTCTGAGAAGCGAGAATCCATCGGGGCAACAATGGCGGCTCGCTTACGTCTCATCTCGAAATCATCCCGATACATCTCTATCAATTCGACGGTGTCTTCCCCAGCATGCCCTTGTCGTCCCTTCTCTGCAACTTCCGACTCGACCCAACCCGGTCCCGGGCCCCAGTCCCAATCCGGTCACCCCCCGATCGCCGGAGAAGACCCGCCGGAGAGTTCTGGAACCAAAGATGTTGACAGCCATGAGAAGCTTCGGAACCTCCGAGTTCTTCTCCAGCAGAACCGAACTGGAACTGCGCGTGGGCTCCTCTCGTCACTGGTTCGCTCGAAAACGTTGCCGTTTGCTTCACCGGCAGATCTCTTCTCCTACTTCGCGCGATCGTATCCGACGTTGAAATCCGTCTTCGGCCACTTGATTCTGTCAGTGGTAATGGAGTCTAAGATGATGACTGAAGCTGTGGACTTGTTTTTTGCCTTGAGAAAAGAAGGTATTTTCCCAAGTTCGGAATCGTTGAACCTTTTGCTTACTCACCTTACAAAAACGAAGCAATTCAGAACAGTCCTTGATGTGTTCTCGAAGATTCTGGAATCGGGTTTTCGTCCCAGCAATTTCATATACGGGAAAGCTGTTGAGGCCGCCGTCAAATTGGGAGATTTGCGTATGGGTTTTGAGCTTTTTAATAGCATGAAGCAGGAGAGAATTCGTCCGACAGAGTTCGTCTACAATGTCATCATTAGTGGGTTGTGCAAAGAGAAAAGGATGGATGATGCGGAGAAGCTGTTCGATGAAATGCCTAAGATAAAGTTATCACCGACGTTAGTGACATACAATTCCTTGATCGACGGGTATTGTAAAGTTGGAAACTTTGAAAAAGCTTTTAAGGCGAGAGAGATGATGAAAATGGATAAGATTGAGCCGAATCTTGTCACGTTCAATACCTTGCTTAACGGGCTATGCAAAGCAGGAACACGTTATGAAGGAAATGAAAGCTCACGGCTTTCTACCTGATGCATATACTTACAGTATTCTGTTTGATGGATTTTCAAGGAACAACGAAAGTGCTGCTGCATTGGGGGTTTACGAGAGAACTGTTGACTATGGCGTCAAACTCAATACTTATACTTGCAGCATTTTGTTGAAGCTGTTATGCAAAGAGGGAAAGATTGAGAAGGCCGAAGAGATTTTGAAGAGAGAAATGGATGGTGGGCTTGTCCCCAATGAGGTTATATATAACACATTAATTGATGGGTACTGTCGGAAAGGCGACTTCGATGGAGCAGGAACGAAATTTGAACAGATGGAGAGACAGGGGTTGAAGCCAGACCATGTTGCATATAATTGTTTGATCGGCAGATTTTTCGAAGCGAGGGAGATGGAGAAGGCCGAGGAAGTGGTTGAGAGGATGAAACTGAATGGAGTTTCTCCTACTGTGTCAACATATAACATACTAATCGATGGCTACGGGAAAATGTGCGAGTTCGATAAGTGCTTTGAGATTCTTGAAGAGATGGAAAAGAACGGGATATTGCCGAATGTTGTAAGCTATGGTGCTCTTATAGACTGTCTGTGCAAAGATTCTAAGCTTCTTGAAGCCGAGGTTGTTTTCAGGGACATGACAGAGAGAGGGGTTTCACCCAATGTGCAGGTATACAATATGCTAATCAAAGGTTGTTTCTCGCTTGGAAGGTTGAAAGATGCTTTCAGGATATTCGAGGAGATGCTCAAAAGTGAAATCGGTGAAAACATTGTCACCTATAATACGCTCATCGATGGATTATGCAAGAACAGGAGAGTAACAGAAGCCGAGGACATGCTTCTCCAGATCACGAGCAAGGGTCTTACTCCAGACGTAATCACGTATAACTCGCTAATATCTGGATACAAAGACGTGGGCAACGTGCCAAAGTGTCTCGAGCTGTACGAAAATATGAAGAAATCGGGCATAAATCCCACTCTGAAGACATACCATCCTTTGATCAGTGCATGTACCAAGGAAGGGACAGAGCTCACCGAGAAGATATTTCAAGAGCTGTTGTCATCTAGGCAGTTAAGACCGGATAGATCACTGTACAACGAAGTTATCCGTTGCTACGCCGAACATGGAGATATGGATAAGGCTTTTGATTTGCAGCAGCGGATGATGGATCAGGGAATCGATATGGATAACGTTACATACAACAGTTTGATATTGGGACAGCTGAGGCTGGGAAAGCTGTCTGAAGCGAAAACTCTGTTCGACGACATGAAGTCCCGGGGATTTGTCCCGAAGGCCGATACATATAATAGACTGGTGAAAGGGCATTGCGAGCAAAAGGATTACATCGGGGCATATGCTTGCTACAGAGAGATGCACAGATGTGGTCTGTTATTGAATGTTTCTACGTGTAACGAGCTAGCGGCCGGACTGAAGGAAGGAGGAAGATCGAAAGAGGCACGGATTCTCTGTTCTGAAATCAACGGTCGGGGGTTGGATGATTTAACGGTGGAGGATGCTGTATCCGCCATCGGGAAGACATGAACAATGTCTGGTCCTCACACCCGTGAAGACAGTAAAGGTACGTTTCGATACGAACTAATCAGATTTTCGAGAGTGGACCGATCATATTTAAATTCTTTAGGGTAAATATGCTTTTGGTCCGAAAACATAGGGATAAAGTGACCTTAGTTAAAATTCTTATACGCATCTCATATATGATTCGTACGTCTCCTACAAAATTTCATATTCATTTCAACGTTTCGGTGAATTGCTTATGCTAGGATGAATTAATAGTTACCATTTCAGCGAATCCCACCTATATTATCATGAGATGCAACAATATCTTAGCGTACGAAAATGTGTATGTATATCCATATTTACACAAACCTACAGTTTTTTTTTTTTTAATCAGGAAGTTCATTCGAAGTTGTATGGGTTCCCAAGTGTAGACTCGAATGGGGAAGTCCATGTGAATGAATTTGTCTCTGAGTGGAGACTCGAAAGCTTTGTTTCGTCTTTTACCAGTTAAGCCAGTCAAATCTATACAATTTTTTTTTTTGGATAACAATGGAATCCCGCCCTCGACTCTTCGGGTCGGATTCTGCAACGTCTCACAGTCCAGAAGACCGGGCGAATGAAACGGTATCGCGGATGGTAAACTCAACGGCTCAACGCAACAGTCGACAAATCATGTTGAACAGGTAAAACAACCGAATCTGTCCGGTTCAGGGGAAACTTGATACCAGGAGTAATCGAACCCCAGACCGTTGTCATCTTACCAACTGGACAAACCTGTACAGTTACAGAAAACTATACAACTCATGATCTATACAAGGTTTAATACATTATGGTTGGTGTAAATCTCTATTAAAAATGCACGAACAGGTTTCACGATTTGATCATGTAGAAACCTTGACTCGCTAAATCTATAGATTTCCAATAAGGTGGAAATGACATCCGAAATTCTGATATCAGACTCGATCCATTGATTGGGTATCCAAAATTCGAGTACCCGACCGTTTTATAATATGAGATCGAGTTGAGTGTTTAGAATTACAATTTTGTCCCTAAAATTTCACGATATTGTATATCCGAACCTTATCGCCACCGCTGCCATAAACCTCCCGCGATCGTAAGACGACAAAGCTACACTTTTACTCGTCCAAAATATCTCTTTCCAAAAGCTTGGGAAAAAAACGTGGGCCGGGCCGGGCCGATAATAATGCTAAAGGCGTCTAGATTCAATGTACCAAAAAAGGACAGCGAGTTAGGCAAGTGGGGGGGACAATGGCGTTTAATTCCGAATTGTACGGAAACCCTAGCAAAGCCCCCATATCCTCTAAATCCATCCCCATTCATTCCCCATGTTCTCTTTCCC